ACCTACGAAAAAATATCACTTCAGAACAAGTTGATTATATTTCAAAATACTTCCCATTTCATTAGTAAATAAAAAGGTAACCATAGCATTTCTAAGGTGTTAAACACCAAATGATTAAGCAGAATGAACTTAGTCCTTTCGTTTATGAATATTTCCAACTCTTACCTATTTCCGTGCATTTAAAGAAGCCCGATAGAAAAGTGAAATGATCTACCAGGAGACCAGCAAAAATGTCACAAAGTGAAATGAAGGTGACACAGAATAAGGGAAGTCAAACAAACAAAACTGATATCAGTCCGTGATCAACTCGTAAAACATAATTAACCCTTACAAACCAAACTATAGAAAATTAATCTGATGCTCGCTAGTGACTTGCTACAGGTTGGAGCTTCCTGCAGTTCTAGTGAGAAGTCGTGACCAGTGAGGTCCAATTAGAAGTCACGTGTGGATGGATTTCCACCGACGACAATAGTTGGGGTCGCGCTAAAATCACGAATTGGTAGAAGTTAGAATTCATGAGCCATTGAATCGGGTCCCAGTGGCTGAATGGTATACGAGCTTGCCTTGTAACCGGAAGGTCCTGGGTTTGAACCCCTTGTGGTGGGTGCGTACTGCCGATGATTCCCAAACTAGGATGAAACAGCAGCTGTCCAGTACTCTCTGGTTTTCAATGGTTCTCTAACCGATATCAGTCTGTGATCAACTCGTAAAACATAACTAATCCTTACAAACCAAACTATAGAAAATATAAATATGCGTTGATTTCCTTAATAAATGATCTGTTGCCTAACTCTTGCCTTCTGTCGTTACACTATGAACCTTTTTGACTTTATTCCTACTGTAAGTGTGGACAAACTCCTTTGGTTAATTTTATTTATATTTTGAGAAAATTAGATGCAATAATGTGACGAATGCTGAGAATTCCATTCTGTATAATATGTACTGTATTCGGAATAAAGGAGATTATTATTAGTAGTAGTAGTTGGAAAATTTCTGTTGATTCACAGGTTAACAGAAAGTAGACAATGTAAACCTACTGGGTACAACTCGGTTGCCAAACCATCACTTTGTCATTTATGAGACTTAGTCATCTTGAAGTAGGTAATAAATGTGATCGTGCATGAGTATGCTAATCACCATCCTTCGCAACAAAATAAAGCTGCGGCTAAACTATTTAGATGAAAGCCACTTGATTCAACATTAGCTCATAGCAGTGAAAATTCCCCCAAAATAATTATCCTAAAACCTCTGTCATTCAGCACTTGGTAGTGGTCAGCAGTATATAAGTCTTCTGTTTAGGTTGAAGGTACACTGTAAACATCTTCGCCATATGGCACGCTGTCATATTATTCTGGGATTTCATGCATGCATCATAGCCGAACAAGCAGTCATCACCGCTGTACATTTTCGATCCTTAAATATATCTCGTATTTCGGGCAACTGAATTGTTGTTTTTGTTTGAATCTGGTTTAAACATATTAACTACCTTTTGAGTTGATTAATATGCACTTGCGTTTGCACTCAATTTGCTTCTTACAATTCCCTCGTGAATTACGCATTACGCAACCTGGATTACAGTTGTGAAATATACCTTTATACCTTTAAAAAGTATTGATTTATAATGCTTCACGACTGTAACTTACAACATAACTGATCTTGTCTGCAAAAATAGCTTGCATCTCTTGAAAACACCCGTTTATAAGAAAATATAAACTGTCATTATTATTAGTCTACATTGAGTACAATTCACTTGTGATGTTACGAAGGAAATGCTGACAAAAGTATACAAGTGTATTACTTATTTTAAATTATTATCAAATTTACATATAAATCAAAAATAAAACTCGATGCCGTACACACCAAAGTTATATGGAGGAATTACTTCAAGCTTTATTTTTTTCCCAAGTATTTGTAATCCATCCAAAACATACTTGGGTTTTTTTGTTAATGCGAAGACAATATTTCTATATTTCTTGATGTGCTCCATTGAATGACTAGTTATCATATTGTTCCCATAGACAAAATGACTGCAACCTAATAATTTTACCATGAACCAAATTTATGTAATTTAAATAATAATAATCCATACCTGTACAATTGGTGTGTCCTACACAGGTAGGAAAAAATGTATTTTATCAAATTACTGTTATTAAATATGCTTACTAATCGCATATGTAATTTATCATATTGATGATGCCTGTAAACTGGCGTCCCTCATGTACAAAATGAGAATATATTATTATTATTAAAGCGCACTCATCGACACCCACTATTTCCTGGGAACTAAATAAAAGTCTAACCTGTCGGAGAGTTGTTTACATGTTTTGAGTTTCGTCGTAAAAGGTATTCACCCAAATAGGCTAAGACGCTACTTGGCGTTTCTTCTTGTTGGTAAAGTGTAGATCCTTCAAGTCCGCAATTCACATATGCTGAACAGATAAGTCTTGAAATCTTTTCCCGAATAATCTGAATATGTTGTTCTTCTCAACATATTTCTATAAATCTGAGTATTTTTGAATTGTGTTTTGTTATCACCACTTGCAGGCTAGTTAGTGTATTAAATAAATAGGTAATTAGACACATGGCCTCTGGTAAGGCAGGTATACTGCAGCATATCAAATGTACGACAAGTACCTTGCAACCTTAGGAGAAGGAGGAGGTCGATGTTTACTCAAGTCACATTGTTCATAAACTTACGCTCCCATCTTGCAGCTCTCAAAATACTTGTTCTGCTTAGACCAGAGAAAAAACCCAAAAAAATATAAAATTATATTTGTCTACTTCCCACTCGGCGCTCAATTATTTTGCAATTATCTGGTCAAATCTTTATCGAAAATAACCCAGTTTTTCCTACTTTACACGTATTAGGCCTGAAAACAGCCCGATATTTCCCACTGTGACCAATTTCTAATGCAAAACTGCCCACGTTTGTACCCACATATCCCACATCTAAAAAAATTCTTCGACTGGGGCAGCTCAGTCTCCCACAGTGTCGTGATGAGGACCCTAAGATGAAACCAGCTGGAAACAAAAAGCTGATGGTAGCGTAATTAGTGAAACTTTCGATGACCGTTTTGGTATTTGTTTGGCCACTGATTATCTGCTTATATCAATGTGATATTTGTACACGGATTCTCTGAAAGTCTATTGTAGCTTGCGCTTCATTCGCTTCTTTCCCAGTGCCCATCTCGCCTGGAAAGGAAAACTACTAAAACTAATCGTTAAGTCGAGACATTTACATCCAATGACAAAAAATGCGAAAAGGAGGAACATAATAGAACATAAATTTCTTAAAGCCTTCGACATGATGCGGTCCTAAGGGAATACACTTAATTTATGGCACAAGCTACACTGAAAAACCCGACATATAAAAAAGTATAATCTTCCTCATATGAAAAACCAGATAAATTCGTATCATTCTCTCAGGATGTGCTCTCAGAAATTCATGATCCTTCCAGAACATGTTCCTCCCTTTGCCTTGCTTGCTTATGTACTTCTGGTTGCTTCTTCTAGTACTATCGGGTATTTATTAGGCTGTATATCATTCGGAAAGACTAGTTCACAGCTCATACCACTGCCCTATAAGTAGGCTTGTTTCAGAAGATCAATACTAAACTGTCAAAACTATACCAAGTTGCTGACTTTCGAAGACTTGAAATTATATGTTGTTTAAATTTGGCTATTAAAAATGAATGATTTTCCTGAGAATTCGACTGTTCACTTTATAATGTGCCCTAGTAGACATCTCCGACAACATGAGCATCAGCTTTGCGCAGATCTTTACAACGTCTGACCTTATGTATTTTTAAGATTTAGGGAAAATTTGAAGTTTAGTCATAAACTGCAATCTGATTCAATGAACGTCGGTCACTGTCATTAAATTTTATTATATGTAATTTTGTCTTAGCTCGTACTCATCTTTACCATACAAGCATCCGAGGTAATAGCTAATGCTATCCATCAGTCAACTAGTAGGCTAACACTGTCTAATCCATTGATCACAAGAGGAAAAAATTCAAGAATAAACCTGAAGCGGTTTGTTATGAATTGATTTCATGGGCAGTTACTAGTTGGAAACTGAATTATCCTTCTTAATAAGGTTGACATATCGGGAAACGCTATTAAAATAAGGATATTTATTTCGATCTCATTGTCTTCACTAGGTTGAAAAGTTCTTGCCGAAGGTATGTGAAATCAGAATATGGTGTATGGATTCTTTTTATTATTCGGGAAAAAAATCACATATCGCTGAAGGTTTACTTAGGTGTCTCAAATGACTTTTCCCACATATTAAAATTAACGCTGTACCAATTCTTTAGGCTAGTAAGTCCATGAAAAGTACTTCTGAAGACAAAATAAGACTTAATTTAACCAGATATTCTGAAATCAGTAAACCTAGAACTTCGTAGCAGCTTCAGTAGTTGATTCGGAGTTGGAACCTTTGGTCGTGTAGGGTGCAGCCACACTAAGACTATTTCCAAAAATAGTTTCACTGAGTCTATGATCCAGATGAATTCCAGAGTAGGGTATTATTGCCCTATAAATTCTCTGTAGCTGAAGATTTATACATCACTTTGTCAAATGAAGCTTGCCAGATACAGGAGGGATGTAACTACAGATCTGTTCTTAAAACCAGATAGGGATTTTTAATCTCAGAAACACTTTATACGACTATTACCGCTTAAAGTTAGATTCAGGTGATATGCCATTAAGGTCGGTATGAGGGTAACCCACAGTTAAGCTAAAGGTAGATTATGGAAAGTTGACGTTATGGTAGGAAAGGATCAAGCTCACAGCTATGTTAAAGATTAAAATGTGGCTTTATTCAGCTACTGACCGTTTTAAAGTCGTTGGTACGTTAACCCTTTCAGAAGACATTATTTAATTCTTTTTCAATTTTTTAGCTGCTCATGAAAATACCTATTTCACACAGTGAATGGAAAATAATGAATTAAGTCCAGCATTTGTTATTTGAGAGAGTGGCGCGTTATTCCACCTTCGCGTTACACCACTTTCAGTGACCTTGAAGTTTTAGGATGGCTTATGTAAGTCCTAAAGGTCTTTTGACGTTGGTTTTTAAAAACATCTCACTTAGGTGGTATTTTTCTTGTTGGGGTCTGCGAATATACAGCGGTTTCAATATGTGTTTGTAGTTTTTCGGTAAATGCACTTGCAAAGTATTTGGATAATCATAAGGAAGAGATTTTCGGTGAGACTGAAAGGTGTATTGTTTTGGAGAAAAACGACTGTAATTGTGTGTTCATCGTTCATGAAGATCACCTATTGTCTCTAGGGGAAGTATTCACTTGAGTGAATACTGCTAATCAGAAGTCGTGTGATTATAATTGATGTGATTATGACCTGTAAATTTTGTTCAAGACGTCATCCAGTAAATAATACTGTTTCACTGTGTGATATATTTAATAAACAATTTAATATGGAATTACTCAATACCACATTGCCCAATATTTACACATATACTGCTAATCAGATCTAATTTTTTGCTTTTAACAATCATTAAACAAAATGCATTAATAGATATTTAGACCTAATTTTATAAGCGTTACTTTCGCCCTATACTGACCGTATCTTTGGGGGAGTCTCAATACCCTCGATGTTTTACGAGCCGCGGCTCGTTTGAAGTGCAAGTTAAGAGCGAATCGATCAGATCATTAACATTTTTAGCGTTAACTCATGTAATAAAATTGGTTTGACATGTTAAATAGTAACGCCATTTAGGAACTGGGGCATTTTTGTAGTTTCTCATATTTGTTATACGACATATCGAACCATTTTTCTTACCTAAATTCATCTTAAAGGTCAACGATCTGATTGGTTAGACCTTGAGTGTGGTGTCTATACTTTACAACTGCCTTGCATTTTTATCGACGTTGATGTAGCTGTCGCTCACTGAACATATCATAGCACCAAACGTACTTGCACCTTATTACATTTGTGCAGGAATACCTTGCATTATAAGTATCGGTCAATATTATGTTTTATTCTAATTTTGTTCGAGTCTGCAACTTTTTAGTTTACTTAGTATGCGACATATAATTATTGCTGGCCATATTGGTACTTTCCATTTGATGAATTCTTGCTCACGACGTTAATTTTTACATGTTCTACTGTTTCAGATTCAGATTTCTACTGTTCTACTGTTGATTATATTTAGTTCCCTGAGCTTCTGTTTTATTTAGATGAGTTTCATGTGTTCTCTTTTGTGCATACTTGCTCTTTGATGTTACTGTTACTCTCTGTTAGGACCGATGACACGTTAAAAATGTTTTGCAGAAGCACTCATGAGAAACAACAGTTGATTTTGTTCATCATTTTCACATCTTATAAGATACTGCGAAGTAATTATCCGTAATCTGTTATGTGAAATGTAAGTTTTCACGCCAGTCGCTGGGCCATTACTGTAGAATGGCCTACATGTACACTTCATTCGGCTTGAGCATATGGTTTTCATCCACATCTCGGCAGACAGACAACTGAGTTCCAAGTAAACAATGAATTACTATTCACGTCAGTAATTTGTGGTGGATCGATTCAGCATATTTCGAGTAGGTTGTTTCAGCACAATGTATTCACGTGCAGTTTTAACGTTAGACAAAATCACACTCCATGGCAGTTCTTGTCATGGCAATATGTTTTAAATAAACTTATCCAGTCGATTTGCAAGTGTGTCTTAAATGTAACAATGAATTTCATGCTAAATTATTAATGACGAATACTCTAGTTTCCCCACTTTCATTTTGTTTTCAGTCTCGTCGACTCCTGCTATTCGATGAAAGAGAAATCAGCCTATTGGATGGCGAAAATCAGTCATCTAAACTGCAGGTAAGTTATGTGTTTAAGAGTAAGTAAGTAGTGACTTATGCAAAGTTCGGTAACTGAGTGTGTTTTGTAAAATCAGAACCCGTAGCTAAGATGTTTATTGTGTACACAAGAGAATCTTGTCATATTAAGGTCGTTTATATGGTTATGGGAAGTGAATACTGTATTAGTTTATCAAACAAACTTATTCTATTATGGGATAACACTCTACTACAGTGCCCAACTTCTATTTTTATACTAAGAATCCTAATATAATTGAGGCGTGTTCACTGCGTCTTGAGAATTGCATTTAAAAGTGGGAATTCTGGTGACACAAAACATGCCACTGAAGAGGAAGTTTTGGAGTTGCCTATTACAGACATTCAAAGGTAGTCACAATTCTTAATAGTTTAAGGTGGCGTTTGTTAAATGATATAATGAATTACTCCCCACTCGTAAGATTTCAAGTTCGTATCTGTTCCAGTTATTTCAACTAAATTGTCCGATTCCTTTTCGCTAACTTCCAAGAGACTTTGAATTACTTCAAAATACATCACCAAGTGAATTCTCTGAAACCAATCAATCACACCGTGTTTTATCGGCATTATAAATTCAAATAAAGCAGGGTGAACGACTACGTAGCAAACAATAACTGTTGTCTCTGTGACGTACTAATTTACGGCAAAGGAAATGAAAGCAATGCCATTGAAAGTTTTATCCAAAACAGTAACTCGGCAAACACTTTCAGTTCAACATCTACATTCCAGGCTACAAACATTCATAATTACAAGGTTGCTTATTAATAAGGGGTATTGGTCGTTGTATATTATTGACAAAATGTGGGAGTTTCATGTTAGTATTCTCCTGATTATGTATATGATGAGAACGGAAATCACGTTAATTTTGCGATATTTAATTGAATCATCTCGTCATCTAAGATTTAATAAGGTATAGATTTGTTTTTGGACAAGGTGAATATCAGTGATTGTTGCTTTGAGATCTCATTCAACTTTCCTAGATTTATTATTCTTTAACACATTGATAGGCTATTGATACTAACTGCTCAACGTATGGTCGTGGTTATTTGTGGTTCGGTGATTCATATGGCGTTGTACATCGTGTAGATAGAAATCTACAGTTGACTTCATTCCAAGCCCACGAAAATTGTGTACACCTTATTCACCAGATGAAAGAACACGAAATATTACTAACTATTGGGGTAAGTTTTAAACCTAAACCGTAATTTTAGTTTTTTAATCTCTTAAGGTTAACTTTGACGTAGTTAGTTTTCTTACTGGTTAGTGTTATAGATGTGATCGAGGAAAGTTGTTGGAGACAACTTTTTGTATCGTTGATTCATCATCGTAATAAGTTTTATAAGCTCGTATAATGTCGCGCAGTGTGACAACCAAAGACTAGTAGGTAATATATTTTGTTAAGATTTTTTCTCCATTCAGTGACATTCTGAAGATAGTTCCGATGGATATGTCTGGTGGTTGTATAGGTTTGCTACTTCGAGAAAGTCTGCTTGACTCTGAGCATACAGGTGATATAGTTTTACTGTGCAATGACATACAGGTTACTTAAATAGCACTTATTCAGTTGATGGCCACTCCTGTATGTATGGTAAGCGTTTTAAACTGATAAAGTGTAATTTTGCAAATCCTGTACGAGCCCTTCCCTCTCACTCACCATCGTAAGTGAACAGTAATCGAGAAGTTTAAGTACCTAGACAGGTGTATGGTTGCTAGCGAAAGTTTAATGGAGGAAATTTTCCGTCGTATAGTGAAAGCTAGAGCGGTATACTCCTGGATCATCTCTGGCGCTGTTAAGACACTAGCCTGATTGCTAAGGGTAGGGTGCAAAACGCTTTAGTGCTGGCTTGTCCTCCACCTATGGATCTTCTCTTTGAGCTTAGGATGTGTAACAACTGCATGTTCAATAATGGCTGTCTCTTTAGAATTGTTTCCATTTGTTGGTGGATACCAAGCAGATAATTATGAGGTCCGACAATGTGTTTTTGAATAGGGTAATTATGTCATTTTGAGATAATGGCTGCTGTATTGGATTAACGTCTACTGATTCATCACGATGGCTTGAAAGGGGAAGGAAAGATCCTGTGACTCACTAGCTAGGGACATTGACAGATTTGGCTCATAATCATATCAATGGCCTACATACTATAGTTTCTTTCTTGCATTTACTTCCGAAAGAAATACGGAGTAGTAAACATTCCTTTGAATGTACCTGATAAGTATGCTTACTTGTCTCACTTTCTTGCCTAGTTACTTCATTTTTTACTCAGCTAGTTGCTGAATTATCCTGTGCGGCTTATCCCTTCGTACCAATACTGTACCAACCTTGTGTTTAAAAAATATTAATAGTAATAATAGATTCTGATTGAACACTAGTCAGTAACTAGTGTAATGTGTCTAGTCCTATCTTCGGTGCAGACTGAATTCTATCAGTCATGTTTGCAATGTGGCCACCATGCTAGGTGGCTCGCCATTACGGTGCACTGTGAATTGTTGGTACTAGATGGTTGGAGGCAATCGGCAGGAAGCCTTGGACCTAGGTTTCGTGCTAGTTGGCAAGGTCCAAGGCTTCCTGCCGATTGCCTCCAACCATCTAGTACCAACAATTCACAGTGCACCGTAATGGCGAGCCACCTACCATCTAGTACCAATCATAGATTCATTTGAATATGCTTTTTGTCATGTCACAGTTTTACTCTTAACTGTGTTCCGATAGTATGTAGTAACCGTCAACAGAAAAAGCATCTTAAGACTAACATACTTAGACACACATTATAAGGGACTGATTCCAACTACCGTTTTGGTTAGACTGTCCAATATATAATTGACATACTTGGTATATGTGGTGTATGTAGTAGAGTATGTATTTAGAGTAAAAGCATACAAATTCAGACGAAATTCTAAAAATCTCTGATTCATATGATTAAATAAGGAGTGAAGATAGGAAATAATGCTATAACTGTATTTTTTTATTACCAGATACATGCTTATGTTGAAGAATATTGATTTGTTTGAGTAAAATGTGCATTTTCTCTTGACACACAGGGAGATAATACGAAGGAAGTGAATCTTAAAGTTTGGAATCTTACAAAGGTGAGTTAATGCATATTGTTTTTATAGCTAGTTTACTGTTACTATAAATTATTTGTTTTTTTCGGTAGTTCAGACAAATTAGTTAGAGAACCATTGGAAAACTGCATAGTACTGGATGGCTGTTTCCCCCTAGTTTGGGACTCTTCATCAGTACTCACCCACGGGGTCGGAAACTAGGACCTTCCAGTTACAAGCCCGTAAACGATTCAGCCACTGGGACCCGATCCAATGGCCCATGAATTCCAATTTCTGCCAATTCGTGATACATTTAGTGCAACTGTCAGCCAATGTCATTGGCGAGTAACTGATCTCTTACTTGACTTCGGGGTCCCAGCTGATTATGATTTCTCACTAGAAACACCTGTCCAGTACTCCCAGGTTTTCCAGCTGTTGTTAACTCGTGATCAAACCTGTAACCGTTCAAATCCCTGCAAACCAACACTAGATAACATGAGAAATATCTCTGAAATAACAGCTAAAATATAGATATTGCACATAAGCCAGTCAAATCGCTTAATTCGATATTATGCAAACCGAAAGATCCAACAGAAAAAGGAGATAAAATTAATGCCATTCACAAAATAAATTGTATGGACTGCAGCAGGCATTACATCGGCCAAAGTGGGCGTCCCCTTCGAATTAGAATCCAAGAACACAAATCAGCCGTCAAAAGACACGATATATATTCCTTAGTATCAATGCATATAGACAATTATGGACATCAATTTGATTAGGATAATGTCGAAATCTTAGACAGAGGAAACACCAAAAGTGCCAGGGAATTCCTAGAAGCCTGGTACTTAAACGAAAATGCAATTAACCAGCACGTTAATATAGATGAAATATACCAACTAATAAAAATTAAATCATGTGACCAGAAAGTTTCAAATCCAAGTCAATAGAAAGTGGTCAATACATGTGTAAAGATGGTTACCGGGAGACGCAATTATATCACTCATGAAGAAATTTAAATCATTTCACTTTATGCTAAATATGGCGCTGAAGATGTTGTCCAGAAGGACGACGAAAGCTCGGTAACTAAACCAGCCAGCTCAGAGAACAAATAGGTTTGTGCTGTTGAGTGGAAGGCATTTCACAGAAACAAAGGTGATTGGGAAACCACTTAATATAGTTTTACTTACTGTAGTAAATTCAGTTACTATTATATGCAAATTTGGAAGCTGTTGGGTAATAGTCAATCAACCTGAAAGCTTTTCCACTTGGGATGATCATATGTTGAGCACAAATTATGCAAGGGGAATAGAAAGCTAACAAATGACATGAAAATGCCATTCTAACATCCTGCCAGATGATATATGTAAAATTACTGTTATAATTGTGATTTGTTGATTAGAGTTTCTGCAGTTTAAATAAAATCAAGTTAGTGTTTAGTGAACCTCCTAGTTTGTACCTTCTTTATAGTTATACTAGTTTTTACTGTTAAAGACATCAATGCGAATCAATTAATAGCTGTATATGCCAACATCTCAGGCATTATGTCCTATATCATAGGCTTGCGTTGTGTAATCGCAATCCAGTCGTTCGGCCTATGGCGATAACAATATATATAGAACGCCTTTATAATCCGACACTGGTCACAGGACGGAGCACAGCACTTCCCATCCATGCTTCTTTATGGCTGCGAGACATGACTGTTGGATGTAGACGCTATAAAGAGGCTAGCTGTGTGATCCTAATACTTCGATCACTTCTATCTGGCTAGCAAGCGCTACTAGTTGACGTGAGTGGTACAAACTACTCACCTCAGTCAATCAGTAGTATATAATTTTATGCAATTATTTGCCTGCCTTCTTGAATACCATTTATGGTATCATGCATATCATCACATACTGTAATCTGAATAATTTTACTTTCTGAAAGAAACTGTGGTGAAATTTCACCCCCTCAAAGTGTGTAGATTACAGATTAATTTGCCAGTTGCGAATATGACTTATGTGTAGTATAAAGTTTGTTCTAAATAAAATAAGGCAGTAACTAGTCTTTAAAGTCGACATGGCAAACTGAAAACATACCGACATTTCACTTTTCCTACAAGTTTTTTTTCTTAACGTACAGTTGATTTTGAAGTGAAAGCTTTCTTTTTATTTAAAAATTTGAATTTATCTACTCATTTTAAGTGTTATTTAGTATATTTACCTGGGGTATTTCGTATTTATTACGTAAAAGCTTTACGTTTACTTACTGCGTTCATTTTCTGGTCAATTTAATATGTTGGAGATGTGGCGCGTTGGCTTAGGCTGTCTGTCTGTTTTCGACATAGAACTTTGCACATATGTGCGGCAGTTCAAGTCGCCACACTCCCTCCATGTAGCACACAAAGCCAGAAAAGAAGAAAGTAGGAGAAATGCATAATAAAGACAGTAAACAGAGGTGTGAGACAAAGGAATGGTTATAACGAAGAACGATATAGTTTCATTGGAAATCATAAGTCACAAGGAGTGGGTGCATCTGCACTAACCATTGAGAACGATTTTGAGCCATGTCACCAATTGTTTCCAACCATTGGTTTTTACCGTCCCGAGGACCCCAACCAGTCAGGTTGTCTACACCTTCCTACGTAGGCTAGGCTAACTGTTGTTTGATTTCATTGACTGGTGCCATGTTTTGGTTTGACCGCCGCTAGCTCTTTTCCAGCCTGACCCTATGTCGACTAACATCTCCCATCCGTCGAGGAAGGCGATGACTAGGCATATGCAACACATGTCCTCACCATCTCAGTCGATGTAATTTCACAGTCTCGTCGATTGATTTCCCCTCCTTACCTAGAACTCGACGCCTAACCTCAATATTGCTCACTCTATTATACCACTTCACACGGGAGATAGAACGCAGAAACCTATGATCAAAGACAGCTAGCTAGTCTTTTCTTGTCTTCCACTCTCTCTTCCACTCACAATGGGCTTAGGCATTCGACTTTCAGTCGATGGATCCAGGATTCGAGTCCCACTCTGGATACTTCAGCCTGGGCAACTGAATAATATCACTAGCCCCTATACAATAAGCGTGGTTCATAGTCCAGTACTGGGTAAATGAGATCTAACTAACAATTTAATGGATATCTATCATTGTTCATCTAATACTAGCAGTAGTCTTCATGTGCTCCTTTTCTAGAATCACTGGTCTCTAGGGTTACCTACTGAACTGTGGATCAAAGAAAACAGTAATATATATTCAAGGATTAGTTTGCTGACATCTTCGTGAAGAGATGTGTTTAGAATAATTTCGATTTCCTCTGCTATGGACCACTGTATTAAATCCTTTATAACTGTCAACTCACTTTAGTGGCCTAAAAATGAATTTCCTGACAAAACGGCCTAATAATTTTGTGTATTCAATGGTGGAAATTAAGTCATTTACTCGACATATTTATTCTTTATGTTCCTCTGAATTTTTTATTGCTGAATAAAGTCAGTATGTTCCACGTTGAACAGTCGAATATATCAGTAAAATATTCGTCGAACTGTCTACTATCCTTAGTTTCTAATCTCTTTTGATTGTATGGTGATATGACAGATTTGCATCACTATAGTTAGCAGACTGCGAAGATTGATGTTGTGTATTCTACAGAAAGAAGCGTGACGAATAATCATCTAAGATAAATGTTATGTGCCCAGTGTCTATTTACCGAGTTAACACGATATATCATTAATGTAATTGTTTTGGCTTTCTTTTTTTGTGTATTTAGTGGACAAACAAAATGACTCCATTTTGTACTCGGATTACATCAGTCGCGCCTCCTGGATTACCATTTAGCCTTGTAAGTCAGATTGTTAAGTATCTATGGATAAAAAACTGTCTCCTCTTATGCGAATGAGAGGGTTTTCTCACTGTTCACTTGTTTTTTATCCCTTTTCACATATACTGCTGTTGATGATGTCAGAGGAGTTATCATTGAATGAATTAAGATGGTACTATAAACTAAAAGCGAGAAATAGTTTTGCAATGTTTATTTCTGTTAAACTTTGCACATCTTATTAGGAAGTTTCCCTAAGCTACAAGGATGTATGTTCACTGTAGGAGTTCATTCCTGTAATATACATCGTTCCCGACTAATTGTTACCATTTCCAAGGGTGGTGTCTACTAAATTCAAACCTTAAGTCACTTATTAATTCTTCGTTACTTCCTTGCCTAGTTATTCCTTTTCGTTGTGTAAACCACTCCTAATTATACTCGACTAGATGGCGACTCTGACCTAGTTATGAATTTCATTTCATTTGATAAGCTATGCATAGGCATCGTGAAATTCACGTTTAAATTAATTATCTCTTCTTGAACTACAATTATATGTATTCTTTGGATAGGTAGTTAAAATATATCAACTTATAAAGTGTTTATTTGTATTTCCCAGAGAGTGTTATAAGTTTAACTAACAACAGTCTGTCCTGAGAAACAATTAACTAAGATTTATGTATGAAGCTAGTAATAGATTTATGAGTGCCAGCTTAGGAAATAAATTATTAAACATCCGAATTATGTGGTGAACTGGTATCAGCTGTAAATTTGCCAAGTCAAATAACATTGTTTCACTCTGTGTGTGTGTGGCTTTCTGTAGTGCACATCTTTATAGTTATCTGATAACCAGTTCCTGTAAATAATCCACTTTAATCAAAAGTCGGCACCAAGCGGTTTTTTTCAATAAAAGAGGGAGGTGATTGCACAACTGCTTCTGAGGATTCTTTAGTTACTTCAAATGCTATTATTCCTTGGAGCTAGTTTGTTGTCTCTCTGCATCTAAATATTCTTACTGACTAATTCCAACGTACTTTCTTAATTTTTTTGTATTTATCCATCTATAAGGTTACGTGTTTGGCCGTAGATGAAGGTCTTCATTACTTGGTATTAGGTCACGCGAGTGGTTTGATCCAGTTATTCAAAGGAGATATAACTCGTGAAAGGTTAGTTTTTCATGTTAAAATCCTCACAGTATTTTGAATTCCTGCGCAGATTTCTGCATCGTATAGCTATTGACTCAATGCCTTAATTTGTTTGCATAAGAAATCAACATTTCAGATTTTTATGAGTTGATCACGGATTGATATCAGTTAGAGATACCATTGAAGACCAGCTGGGAGTACTGGACAGCTGCTGGTTCATCCTAGCTTGGGAATCATCGGCAGTGTGCACCCACTGGGATTCGAACCACGGACCTTCCGGTTACAAGGCAAGCTCGTATGCCATTCAGCCACTGGGACCTGAATTAATGGCTCATGAAAACATCCTTTTAGATTTACTAATTTTCGTTATCTGTAGCAATGAGGTTAGGTGTTTAGTGTTTGGTAAGGAGGGGTAGTCATTGGTCGGAACTGTGAACCTCTGTCTTTTGAATAGGTTAAAAAATGTGTTACACACAGCATGCCACCGCCTTCCTCAATGAAAAATGGTAGCTAAAATAGAATTTGGCTGGAGAAGTATTAGGGGTGGTCAAACGCAACTGTACCGCCAATCCATAAAGTCCTTAAATGCAGACAATCTTACCGTGGTTATTGAGATTCTAGGAATCAACGCTTAGAGATTGCTGGCGACATGGCTCAAAAATGTTCACAATTATGAAGATGTATTCAATTCTTGTTTTATCAAACAGGTTTTAAAATATCATTACTAATCTTCATCTGATCATCCTCTCTTGCGTATATCTTCTTCATTCGTTCTAGTTTAACTAGTTTTGTCTACTTTTATTTATGTATACTTTCCAGAAGTGTGGCACCTTGATCTGATGCGCTTTTGTTTGAAATCCTAAGTTCATAAGTTAGCTGGTTGTATACTCTGAACTGGTTGCAGAACGAGCGTATAGTGTACACAGAAACTGACAGACTAGTTCTTCGGTGTGTGTCGAAACTTTATGACAGTGCATGCACTGAAGCATTTCAAAGGTTGGACCTCATTTGAAATAATGACATAAATATCATTAGTTTTTGTTCTTGATGATTCTGATACTTAAATCCACTTAACAACGATGATCATATCTAAAGAATGGTCAGTAATAATAATGATTTGCTTTGTTCAAAAACAGTACTTATGATACAACGTGGAGTTCCCAGCATTCGATAAAATATTACGGCTAATTTATTCAACAACAACAAAAAAACATTACGGGGTGTAGGTATTATTATTACTGTTATTTCCTCTAATTTCTAGAGGAACATAGGGCTTCCGCCGCGCGTCTCCGTTGCGTTCGGTTCTCTGCTAGAGTTTTCACCTGGCTCCAAGTCTGCCCACATGGTTTCATCTCTTCATATGGCCTCCTCCAGGTCACCCTTGCACTGACGACCAACTCGCCGCTTCCCTTTCGGTTTCCACTCGAGCGATGGCTTGTCTAGTTATGTCACTTGATGGTTTCCTCAGAGTATGGCCAATCCATCTCCATTTCTTCCTGCATATTTGTTTCACAATCTGTTCCTGGTTGGTTCGCTCATTGCCAGAGATCTTTGTTGCTGATCTTTTCTGGCCAGCCATCTGATCTTGAGTATTGAGCGAAGACAGCTGTTGATGAAGGTCTGTAGTTTGTTTGAGGTGCTCTTTATGACCAAAATTAATGATAGCGACGTTTTGGCACCAACAATAAAGTCATAAATGTACAAAAAGTGTAAAATAATAATAATATTGTTGACAGCTAAAATTATTAGATATTTGAAATAGTGTCACCATAAATTACAAATAGGAGAAGGTAAAAGAGCCGATCATTCTACTGATTACATAATAAGTAAGTCGTAGGTTTTACTCTTAACACTATCTCTATCATACAGAACGCGGACCAAATAGGCTATCGTTGAGTTTTTGTACTTAGCCGTGCGAACAATATAGTCCTTAATAATCACGTGTGTGGATGGATGTCCCACCAACGACAATGGTTGGGGTCGCGCTAAATCACGAATTGGTAGACGTTAGAATTCATGAGCCATTGAATCAGGTCCCAGTGGCTGAGTGGTATACGAGCTTGCCTTGTAACCGGAAGGTCCTGGGTTCGAACTCTGGTGGTGGGTGCGTACTGCCGATGATTCCCAAACTAAGATGAAACAGCAGCTGTACAGTACTCTCTGGTTTTCAATGGTTCTCTAATTGATATCAGTCCGTGATCAACTGGTAAAACATAACTAACCCTTACAAAGGAAACTATAGAAAATCATTTCTAATCCTGTCTGATGAGATGCAAGGGAAGAGTTGTGAATATAGACGGTGCTAAGAGTCAGACAATATGGATTTAGCCTATTTCTCCCATTAGTCCAGATGTCTGTTGACTACATTAGTAACGAGCTGACTTGGCGGCAAACTACTTGTCCTACTGATAGCCTTTCATTCCCTTCTCAATATGACATAGTCCTTTTTGGGTAGCCTAGGATAGACTATGGCGGGGGAGGGGGAGCAATAAAGAACAATAGGTAAGATGGAAGAGTTGATAAACCGTAAAAGTGGAGGTTGAGTGATATCTGAGTGTCTTAACTTCTTCATGCAGAAGGTTAGACGTAACATTGTCCTAGAAATTGACAAAATATGGGATGATCAAGAAAGGTCAGAGAATAGAACTATTCCAAAGTATTTAATGCCTGACTTAGTTTCTGTTTCAGTGCCGTCTATACTACGAGTGTCATGTGAACAAACAAGTTAGTGTAGATCACATTTATGCCTGAAGCTGTAGTTAACCGCCTGACAATTCAATTCCTTTCAGTAAATCAATAGTGTAAAGTAATATTTAGCACAGGACCGTCGTTGTAATTCAGGTATATTCTAGTAATTAATTATAAGTTGAACTAACCGTTCTAAGTCCCATTATCAACTTTCATTGCATACTAATAGTGTTTTTTTGATGTGGTTGTGTTCTCTGAGCTGGATAGTTGATTTGCGAAGCTTTCATTGCCCTGCTAGGCGACATCTTCAGCGCATACTTCAATACTAATAGTGTGTAACTAATGGTTATGCTAAAGGATTCATTGTCTACTGATTGCATCGAGTCGTAAGTTGTCTGTCTTTTGACATGAACGTTATGAAATGAAAAGGTTATCTATCTCTAATTTACCATCTCTACTTCTATTTTTCTTTTCTTTTTTCTCTCCACAGACAATGCAAACGTTCCATACTCTATGAATTCTTGTGCCCTGTTACTGGGTTAGGTTTGTATATTCCAGATCATTTAAGTCATCGACAACAATATAAAAAGAACTATTCAAATAATGCTGCAACTTCGGATGCTAGTCAGTGTCAAGATCCTATAGTTTTTGCAGCCTCAGAGCAGAGTTTAATGAGTTTTGTACTTGGTCAAAAAGAGAAGATCAAGTGTAAGGTGAGACTTCGAGTGTTGTTTTTGTGTTTGCATAACTTCTCTTTTTAAATTCCCGTTATTTAGTACTCAATCCTGTTAAAATTAAATCTCCTTCTTAATCGATTGTTTATTAAATCGCTTAACGATTTAACCACTACTTTGTCTGACAGTGTAGAGATTTTCTACAGTATGCTTTTACAATCATTGGAGATTACCTGTAATAATAATAATAATAATAGGGATTTTGTTTGATTGCATGGGGGATTTTATCATGAGCTGATATCAGTTAGAGAACCACTGGGAAACCTGGGAGTACTGGACAGTTGTTTCGTCCTAGTTTGGGACTCTTCAGGTCGCGCTATGTCGTGAATTGACAGAAGTTAGAATTCATGCGTTAGCCATTGGATCGGGTCCCAGTAGCTGCTGAATGGTCTACGAGCTCGCCTTGTAACCAGAAGGTCCTGGGTTGGAATCCCGGTGGGTGCGTACTGATGAAGAGTTTCAAACTAGGACGAAACAGCTGTCCAGTGCTCCCAGGTTTTCCAGTGGTTCTCTAACTGATGTCAGCTCATGATGAAATCCTCCATGTAATAGGTTATCAACAATCTTCGATAATCGAACCCCTATATATTAGGTTATCTAATTGATAATGTGAAATAGGTTGTCTATCTTTGAAACCTTCGTCACGACCGAAACCGGCTCGTTGTGGTCTGAACGCAGGGAATCGATCTCTACGTTTTACTGTATAGCCGACAAAGCTTCCTTAAGATACACAAGGTCACAAGAGGCTCCAAAGACAGCGAAATGACAATTATTCGTTACTGGAATCTGTGGTCCTATTCAGCAATAAAAACATCAAAAATTCGAAATTGCCTCATCAGTGCTACACAGACAAGGTTATTCTCTGAGCGCAAACCTAGTACTTGGAATCAAGTAGAATAACCCCAACAATTATATGTATATATATATATATTATTGTCTCCTTTGGTTTCAAGAGGAACATAGGACTTCAGCCACATGTCTACATTGCGTTCGGTTCTCCGCCAACGTTTTCATCTGGCTCCACGTTTGCTCGCATGCTTTCATCTCCTCTTCGCATGATCTCTTCCATGTCACCCTAGCACTGACGACCAACTCGCCGCTTCCCATTCGGGTTTCACTCGAGCAATGATGTGTGTGTGTGCGTGTGATGTCACTTGATGATTTTCTTAGAGTATGGCCAACAAGGTGGGATCAAAACTCTGTCCACAAGAATCACATACCAACACTTCCCCTAGACAGTCTAATGTCAGAATGGCCTTCATTCACTCAAACAAAATTGTAGCCGTAAACCAGCACAGTTTCAATGTATCGCGTAATCACAAAGTGAAGCATTAAAATTAGAGATTGAACAGTGACAAAGACGTATAATAAGGATCAAGTCAACATAGGATATACAAATGTCAGAACAATGATATACTGTCTAGGAGAAAAAACGGAGAATAATTACGGAGTTAGCTGAAAGATCCAAATAAGTGAAAGTATTGTGATTAGGTCATTCCGGAGAGATTTTCCAAACAATTATTCCTTTACAACCTCTCAATCAAGAGTTACTTGCATACATGTGTATTGGTGTTCTAGGTAGCAGATATAAAACTTGGTTTCCTTCGTATGGAAATGACAATCTAAGCATCATCAACCGGTTCATTACTGCGACTAATTTAGTCAATAAAACTCCACACAATAAGTTTTGAGTTACAAGTAGCGTATGGAAATTTACATAATCAATAAGTTGCATGTTTAGTGCTATTAAAAATTTGGGTTTATGGAGGTTTGACTGATATCAATGTGGACCAGCATCAGTTCGGAAACGGTTGGAAGTCGGGGAGTATCAACAGTTATTTTTTTATTCTAATCCGGAACTCTTCCTCTTTGTTGGGCAAAGAAGGAAAATCAATCGAAGAGGCTATAAAGTTACATAGATTGAGATGGCTAGGTCACGTCCCGCGCATGCCTAACCATCGTCTCCCCCGACGGACGGGCATTACTAGCTGATATAGGTGCAGGTTGGAAAAGAGTAAGTGGTGGCCAAACAAAAAAAACATGGCCTCATCAATCCATGAAATCCTTGACAGTTAAACTGAGTCAGGTAGGGAGATGCAGACTTCCGGGGTGGGGCCCTCGAGACTCTAAGAATCAATGGCTGGAGACAATAGGTGACATGGCTCAAAATCGTCGTCAATGGCGCAGATGTATTCAGTCTCTGTAATCTCTCATATTCCTTTCTACCATTACTCATTCTGTTTCATTCTTATACTTGTCAAAACTCTATTTATTCTCTTCACTCATTTTCTTGTCTACCTTTGTGTGCTATTTGGAACGTGGCAACTCGAACTGCTGCACTTCGGTGCCAAGTTCTATGTTGAATCCAGTCAGCCAGGAACTCTTCATGAATTAGGTTATTCAAACTATCTACACTATTGTTTTCAATGTAAGAGAAGAATTTGAGTCAAGTGGTAGGCTGTAACTCCATATTAGATAAGTTTATTTGATATAACACACACCATGATACAGTATGCATAACTGGATGACTTTTCGAGCACAATTTATTGCTCATAATCATATCGGTGTATCCAGACGAATACATGAATGTTGGAGTATGATTGTCGTTGATATTACTTAAAACCCTGTGAATGTTAAGATGATTATTGTTATTGTTTCCTTTAATTCCTAGAGGAACATAGGGCTTCAGCCGTGCCTCTCCATTGCGTTCGGTTCTCTGCTAGAGTCTTCACCTGGCACCAAGTCTGCCCACACGTTTTCATCTCCTCTTCACATGACCTCCTCCAAGTCACCCTCGCACTGACAACCAACTCGCCGCTTCCCTTTCGGTTTCCACTCAAGGGCTTGCCTGGTGATGTCACTTGATGGTTTCCTAAGAGTATGGCCAATCCATCTCCATTTCTACCTGCCTATTTGTTGCACAATCGGTTCCTGCTGTGTTGGTTCGCTCATTGCCAGAGATTTCTGTTGCCGATCTTTTCGGGCCGGCCATCTGATCTTGAGTATTGAGCGAAGACAACTGTTAATGAAGGTTTGTAGTTTGTTTGAGATGCTCTTTATGACGCGCCAAGTCTCTGATCCGTATAGCAAATAGCACTGACTGTCTTCACATTGGAGTTGAAAATCCGGATCTTATCTTCGTTTTGATGCTGAGTGCTGTTGACCTCCACACAGACTAGAGAGTAGTGAAAGCTTGTCTTGCTTTTCTGATTCTTGCTTTGATATCCTCGTCAGTTCCGTCCGCCTGTAGTTGAAACGATGCTTCCCAGGTAGGTAAAAGAGGTTGTTTCTTTCAGGCTCCTTCCATTTATGCTGATTGCTGTCTATTGTTGTTGCTGTTGTTGTTAAGATTAATAATTCTAATATTTTGTATTATTGTCGGATTACTACTCAATGTAGCTTTACTGTCATGGTCAATAAATTGCCTGACTTTCGACAACAAACTAAAATTTCGAAAATTAATCCACTGTTCATTAGCAGCTTAATTGGGAAAGGGTTCTTATTCGAAGTTGTAACTGGCTGCGTTCGCTAGCCCGGGTATGAAGACAAAGAACTACCAGAGACATTAGTTGGCAGTATCCAGCCTATCATGAATCGACAGAAGTTAGAATTCATAGGCTATTGAATTTTTGACCCAGTGGCTAACTGGGAAATTATTCACCTCTCAAACTGCATTGTCTGAATTCGACCTTTTATGAGGTCATGGGTATGCACGGATGAAGAGTCTCAAACTGAGACGCAAGAGTTCTCCAGTGTTCATTGACTTTTCTGTGTTGTGATACCAGTGCGTGTCTTAATTCAACTTGGAATTTTTAAACAGTAAAATTACATTCTTATATCTATTCTTTGCATTATCGTCATTATTGTTTTTAATGATATTTTTCTCACCGTAGTTTGATAAACCGTTTTTTGATGTGGTTGTGTTCTCTGAGCTGGATAGTTAATTTGCGAAGCTACTAGGCTACTTAGCCTAGAAGGTGTGAAAACACACAAAAACAACCAATCACGTCCGAGGTCACCGGGAGAGATGATTAGTAAACTCGTGGAGAAATCTAAAAGCTCACATCAAATTGAAGTATACGCTGAAGATGTCGCCTAGTAGGGCGATGAAAGCTTCGCAAATGAACTATCCAGCTCAGAGAACACAACCACACCAAAATCATCCACCTGAACTACAAATCTTCTCCATCATATCTTTATAAACCGTGGACATAAATTACGGTTTTTATTGCAAAATATTTATAGATTTCCTTGCCCTTCATAGCATTTCAGAAAATGACCTCTATCGGTAACTCCTCCGCAAATATGAAGTTTGCGTACCATGTAGTTACGTTTAGTGAAGTTTTAAATCTCCATAATTTTTTGATAATTCACCTTAAGTGGCTAACCACTTTCCAAGCAGTTCAGATGATTTGGTTGGTCTTAGTTGAATCGGCTTGAGAATATGCCTGGCTAGCACAACCATGTCTGAACAAAATGATTGGGCTGTATTCAAATTGGCAGCGAGCATCACTGACTGCTTGCATAAGTAACTGTTAACGGATATTATCTGCTGGAAATATGCATCATTCAGCTTTTCATATTCTTCAAGGCACTATTTCACTCTGATAGTAGTTAGTGAGATAGTTTAGGGTATTGGCCACTTCATTTGCCCGTGGAATACATCCCAGATGGGGTATCAGTAAGCAAATTTCATCGCCGATACAAAAGCTTGTGTAACTGTTAGCAATTGGCGCTACAATGGCACCGACTAGACATCTTAATGGGTATACAATTCCTTCATCTCACTATTTTAGATTACCCAGTATGCATTTCTTCTATTTTTTGTTTTCTAAAATCAATAATCTAGACTGTTCTTGATCGTTTTGGAGCTCGACCGCATTGTACAACCATGTTGTTGACTGACGATGTTACAGGAACAAGTCCTCAGTTTGCTGTCGCATGTTCAGATGTAAGTGTTTTAATAATGTGTAATTTATTTTATTACTCATAAAGAAAATTATTTCTTTTTGAAATTGGTCATTTGCTGGCTTTTAAATTCGTTACAATCACTGCAAGTCTTTTACATTAATGACTTTTGAATTTTCTGTGTATCTATATCAATGATCGGATCCGGTTGTATTTCTTGGTAGTTGTCCGAGTGGATCAAAACACCACAGAATAGTTGGCAGTAATATTAAATTTCATGATTCCCTCTTTGGCTTAGTATGACTACGTATTCGAATATAGAATCAAAATATACGCGTTCTGTGTGTTTGTTCTTCAAATTCCCAACACATTTGAAGTTACTTCTGTAGTTGAAATACCTTCGTTTGAACTCACTTCGTGAAACAAGTCTGTCATATTCCAATTTGTGAGCCATACTTGTTTTATGAGGGTTGACAATACTACCCAGTTTCACAGGCTGTTGTAGTAGATAGAGCGAGCGGGATTGGGACCCGGGACTGACTGACTGACTGCCTGAAAGCCCACTGCTTAAGCCAGTCAGTCACGTCTCCAGTTTCCCTAGTAATATTGTAACAACAGAAGGCAAGGGTCAGGCAACAGATCATCTATATGTTAACTGTATCCGCCTTCGCAAAGTCTGCTGTGGTCAGTTTTGAATCACTCTTTGTTCATATTTTCCCACGACAAATCTTGAGAACGTAAACATTGACGTAAATTATTGTCTACCAATTTGGCTAGTAGACAGCTCTCACCACAATATCACTTGAATAGCTCATTTAAACATTAAGTTATTAATGATTTTTATTTATATAATCTTTTATCAAAATTTATATTCCTTCAAAAGGCTGTCTACTTTTACAATTGGGATGGTAGAGGCCCGTGTTTAGCTGTGGACGGTGAGAAAATCGCTTTAGAGACGTACAAAAATTATTTGATTATATTAAAAAACACTGGGTAGGTTATTGTTGGACAGTTTTTTTTGTTGTGAATACTATTGTCTGTGTCTATTCGATTAAATTTTCACATTAAGCTTATTTTGTTTGATTTCTCTATTAAATAGTGGAAATGCTTATCTTTAAGTTGTCTTCGTATATGCTTAGCTTGTTGAATGATGAGTTTCGGTTTTGTATATGACTTCAGTAGATAATAAGGGAGACGGAAATAGCACGAAGAAAGGATACGACTGAATGGGAAAAATATACCCACAAAGAAATAAAATATGCACAATTTTTAGGAAATGTAAAGACTTTAACATCCTATATCATTGGTATGATGGTCGTTAATCTACGTTATGCAAATTATATTTTTTGTTGAAAACCCCAGTCGATATGGCCACACTAATTTTGCTCAAAGTCAATGACTTCATATTTTAGGGATATTTAATCTACGAAACTAACATAAATTATCTCTAGTTCGTAAATATTATTTTGTGGTTCGCACGTTTCCACTCGTTTCTCCGCGTTTGGGAAAAAAACTCTAGCATTTCATTGGTTTTGTTTTGCATTTTTAGTGGTTCTTTTAAAATAACTTTTTATGTCTCCCTGAAGAACATCTGTAGTGTAGCTTTGTGTCCTTAATATTCGCTTAAATTTAATCTCATTCCATTAAACTGTAGTCTGTTTTCTTATCTGTAACTAACTGTGATGTTCAGACAACTTCGTCATACATCATTATTCTAGTCACGCCACTAATTATATACTAAAGATCACCACACTGTAAATTTATGTTATCTGTAACTACTTGTGGAGTTTTTCAGTCAATTGATAGTCCATATTTTCAAGTATTGGTTTTTTGTAAGGATTTTGTTTGATTGGTTACAGGATTTCATCATGAGCTGACGTCAGTTAAAGAACCATTGGATTACCTGCACGGAGTACTGGACAACCGTTTTGTCCTAGTTTGGGACTCTTCAGCGGTACGCACCCCCGGGGTTCAAAACCAGGACCTTCCGTTTACAAGGCGATCTCGTAGACCATTAAGCCACTGGGACCCGATCCAATGGCGAACGCATAAATTCTAACTTCCTTCTGCTAATGCATTACATAGCGTGACCACTTCGCAATGTCTTCTCCGAAGAGTTACTGCCTCACCTTCAACCTGCTTCACCCTACTGGTCACGGCTTCCCACTAGAACTTTAGGTCAACTGCCTGAATAGGGTCAGTTGCTAGAGAGCATCGGATCAACTTTCAAGTATTGGTTTTTGTGGGGATTCTGTTTGATTGGCTGAGCTGACGTTAGTTAGAGAACCATAGGAAAACCTAGTCCATATCTGCATAGGCTGTACCTGTCATAAGTGGCTCACGTCTATTTTGTTAAATCACAAGCTTAATACAATGGGGACACCAAAAGATGCACCACACAAGAATAATGAAACAATATAAGGAGAATAGGAGTAAGATAATTTAGGGGCAAAAATCCAGGAAGCAAGTCAGCGTACCTATCAAGAGGACTCAAAGGGATGGTTCATTACTTCATATTACTCCGATAAAGGGAAGGAAGGAAATAGTTGCAGCATGTCCACTATTGATTACGATTTTTGGTCATATCTGATAATGTCTCGGGTAATTGACTCGAATTATCTGTCGGATCTCATCCAGGGAGTCGTGATGCACCGACGGACACTATAATAACAAACCTATCGTCCATCCTATGGCGCACTCTGAAGCATTGTAAACCCGACCTCTGACTTCCAGGCTGACGTCGCGATGGTGACAGAGTTGTCCCAAGTTGACATATACCGCCTGACTTTCACTATACGGTTAGGGACCTCGTACGTCGCACCCTCCCCAGTATTTCCAAAACTCCCTACTTACACTAATTTGTCAGCTACTTCTAACGGTTCACTTGTGAGAGTGAGTGTAGGTACAGGCTCCTGCCAATGTTGCAATAATACACTTAGATGGAAGAAAGCATATACCATAAAATTATAACTACCTCAATCAATAGGATCTTGTAGTTCCAGGTAACCTCCTCAGTTGATTTTTTAGGTGCTCCGTATGCTGTACTTACTAGAAAGGTATAAATATTTGGGGATTAAAGTGAACCAGAGAACTAACTGTTAGTGGAATTCGATCGATCAGCAGATGTTTTTCAAGCACATTTTATCTTTCAAAGGCCAGTTAAAAAGGATCTTCGTGCCATTGGAACTGACTGTGATCTGACCATGTGTGCATTAATGAAAACTCAAGTATCATAGTCACTAAAATGTAGGACAATCTGACCAATGAAAACTGTACATTTTCAGGAATTTCATAATAATTTATATCAGAACCCTGAATCACTTCATTTTGGTCCAGTCTAAGGTTAAAAGTCTCACAAAATAGCCTGTACCAGCTTAGAAAGCAGTGAATCTCCAAGTGTATACATTTTTACTTCCTTTACCTCCTTTCATTCATAATCCAGTCCTTGTTTGTATACACAGTTACTAAGTTTCAGTGCAGAATTGCAGCAGTTAAAGTTGCCGTAGTCACTCTACCACATAAAGGTAGACAAACGCCAGGAAAAAGAAACTTCAAAGAACTATGGGCGCAGAAGTGTGAGGCAGAAAGAATAGCAATATGGAGAAACATGACGGTTTTCGGTGGATATGGGAGATTACAAAGAGTGAATGTATCTGCGCCAAAAGTCTTCAGCCGTTAATTCTGAGCATCCCAAAGGTCACAGCCGGGAAGTGTGTACACTTCCCTATGTAGACGACTCAACCCAACAGTCAAAGACTTCATGGACTGATTCCAGGTCATGGTTTGGCCACCCCTGAGTCTTTTCCAACTTAATCTTATGTCATTTAAAACTGCCCATATAGGAAAGTGATAGCTTGGAATGTGCAACACGTCCTAGCCATCTCAACCGACGTAGCTTCTCAAACTCATCGACCGACTTACAATCCTTACCTAACACTACGTCTAACCTCAGTTTTACTAATCATATTATCCCATTTAGCATGGCAGACAGAATTCAAACATCTGTGGTAAAAGACTTCGAGTTTTTTCTCTGACCCAAAATGACCCAACAATAACCCGATTCACTGGGAAATAGTGTTAGTGATTTACCAACATATCGTGGCTTATACGTTTACGCATACTGTACAGTGTGCATGACTTTCTGTCTGTAACTACTAGACAACTCCTTTATTATTATTATTTCCTTTAGTTCCTAGAGGAACATAGGGCTTCAACCATGCGTCTCCATTGCGTTCGGTTCTCTGCTAGAGTCTTCACCTGGCTCCAGGTCTGCCCACATGCTTTCATCTCCTCTTCACATGATCTCCTCCAGGTCACCCTTGGACGACCAACTCGTCGCTTCCCTTTCGGGTTCCACGCGAGGGCTTGTCTAGTGATGTCACTTGCTGGTTTCCTCAGAGTGTGGCCAATCCATCTCCATTTCTTCCTGCCTATTTGTTTCACAATCGGTTCCTGGTTGGTTCGCTCATTGCCAGAGATCTTTGTTGCTGATAGACAACTCCTTTAATCTGATAGTATCACTCATCTCATCCCTTTCATATTTTTAATATTCTATTTGTAGCAAGTCCTTAGTGAATTCTTACAATCCACTGCTTAATTTAACACACAATAATAAAGAAATAGGCAATTCATCATCATCGTCATCGAGTATGGCAGCAACGTCAACGGGAGCAGCGCTTTCACCACCGCTACCGTCTTCTCAATCCTTCAATTATATCACATCTGGTTCACTTATTATACAAGACTATAATAATAAATTTGTTGCTGGTGAATTTCATTTCACTTATTTCAAGGCTTTATTCATTGAATGGAATGGTATCTATTTGTTATGCGGCAATGAATTTTCTAATCAATTCGATGAAACATTAAACACTGGCGATAGTGTTGCATTGAATACTAAAGTAGGTTTATAAACATATTTCTTTTTGTATACTTGTTTGTGTATTTTGGAGACACCAGTGAGTAACTAGTGTAATGTGTCTAGTCTTTTGTTTAGTACAGAATGAATTCTATCAGTCAAGTTTGCAAAGTGGCCATCAAACAAATGACTAGACACATTACACTAGTTACTCACTAGTGTCCAATCAAAAAAGAAAACAAAATATCCAGTACACTCCTACAGGAGGCCAATCGCGAGCCTGAATAGCTCAGTGATAACGTCTGTGACTGCAGCACTTGGTGACGCAGGTTCGAATCTCAAAAGGGATATGAGTCCCTTGGAGATTGCAGATACGCCTTGCTGACTGATGAGTGCCAACTAGCACAAAATCTAGGTCGTAGGCTTCCTACCAATTGTCTTCAACCGTCTAATACCAGCTTGTTTGTGTGTACGAACAGTTTTTAGTGGATTAGGATTTGTGATTTTGTCATAGAAATATTCGGTTTTTCATTAGTCGACTGGCATGTTTGAAATTCACTTGGGGTATCATCACCCAGTGGAATTTTAGTACAATGAAAATGCCGTTAATAATAGCGATGACTTCATCTAGTTGATGGTGAAACCCAGAATTTTATCTGCTGAAACTTTTCATCTGGCTGTAGCTGCATACCCAGTGAATGGTGTTTCCTCTGGGATTCGACCTCAGCGCCCATCGTTTCAAACGTCGAAGCTTTATCCACTAAAGCCGTTCGGACATGGAAGTCGCGTCTTGTGCAACCGAAATGACTGAAAATATTTCTGGAAATTTCTCCCCGATTAACTGTGTATACACGAAAGTACAGCCTAGTTGATAATTTCGTCGGAAAGTGAATTTTCCTCACTACAATTGTCTTTTCAACGGATATCAGTTGTTATTTGCTGAAGATATTATGTATTTCCCGTCACTGGATGTATCTTGAACTGAAATGCTCAGTCTCCGTTGTCCCCATCCTCCAAATAACCTGATGTTAACCTTCATACATCGTCGAAGCATCCATATCAGGAGGTGATATGTCCACAGAGGTCGAGCATTCCAGTTGAACACACATCAATCGACGGAAGATGCAAGGTACCTTGGACATATACGAAAGCAAAATGACATGGAATTCTACTGAAAGATTTCTTGAAACCTTTAAATTGCATAATACTGCATGGTATATATAATTGGGACTCAATAGTCAATTTATAGTCAGTTTCTTTTTATTTATGATATTTTAGACATTGTAAAATGTTCCTCCTGTGTCATACAGTATGTCACTTTTATGGAGGCATGCTTAAAATAATTCCAACCCTCCAATAATTTATTGTCTACTCATTTCTGAATTCCAACCATCATGAGAAACACATTTCTTTCGACTGACTCTTTAGTATTGTTTGGGGTGATGTTGCTCGTTGCCCCTTAAGCATCTGGCTTTCGGCCAGCAGGTCCCGGCATCGAACTTCGTTTCTCCAACTTCAGCCTGGCCAAGTGGATAGCATCACCAGACTTCATACAATATATATTTAGAACTTGGATAGTTAGTGGAATCGTTTAGTATAAGGAGATAATTGAACGTATAATGCAAATCACGGTCACTACAGGGTTAAAATAAATGCTTGCTTCGGTCATTTGGAGATTGAAATGCTGTTACTTTTGAATTAGCATCTATGTCATTCAGTGTTTTGCCCTTTGAGATTTTTGTGTCGTATACTTCAGTATCATTTTGTTCATTTCTGAAGGCTAACATTTAAACGAATAAATTTTTAATCTTGTGTTTATATGAAATGTAAACCGTAGATTCTAAAAATCTACTACGTTACTTCCTTGATACTTCTTATATGACATTATGATATGTTGACAATTGATCGACCATAGAGTTTTGTGATATTGGTCTTAATTATTAGATTTAGGTTTTCGGGATTGTTATTCACAGTATTCGTCCATTTTTTGTGTTACTTCATTTTTTTCAGTTGATTTGTTTAACCGAAAAGGATACACAAACTAAGCTAGATATGCTGTTTTCAAAAAAGAATTTTAATTTAGCTATAGAGTAAGTTGTTCTTGTAGTGAAATTAATAATATGGCTGGTTAATATTATTCCTAACGAACAATCGTTTTATTGCAAAAGCGCTTTTTTCAGACAATGGTGATTTCAGTTTGTATATTAGTGTAAGCTGAAATTCATCATCGAATATTTTAGTTTAAGGAGGTTTTGAAGTTTATGTAATGATTGGGGTGATTTTCTGGGGTAGGGTATCAAGCCCCACACCCAACCTTCCCTTTATTTCCGAAATTAGGACCGGTTAGTAAACTAGACGAATTTTCAGCAGTAATGTCAAGTTAGTGCTCCTATATATGTTTCAAAGACTATGTGTGCGCGTCACGGAAAGCATTTTCAACAGACTACTGCAGACTTTCATCAACAGCTGCCTTTGCTATCGATACTGAAGGTCAGATGATCAGCTGGAAAGGATGAGCAACGATGGACTCTGGCAAAGAACTAGTCAATAACAAATATGCTGAAGGAAATTGAGATGGATTGGACACACTGAGGAGACCGCTGAGTGAAACCACGCTCCAGAAACGCCCTTGAATGGAGCCCGAATGGGAGCTGACGAGTTTGGCGTCTGAGGGTAACATGGAGGAGATCGTGTAAAAAGGAAATAAAAGCTTTTGGGTGATATTGAAGTCTGCGAAAAAAAATCTCAAAGAGCAGAGTGAAATGGAGATGGACTGTTGAAGCCTTATATTCCACTCGGAGCCCAAGGGAATATCAATAAGAATTAAAATGATGTCTAGAATGCCTATCTATCTATATGGTACTGTCACAAGAGCTTTTAGGCATCGGAGACAAACGCTACTCTCATGCTCCTTCTTAGCTGTTTATCCATCCTTCCGTCGAAATACAGGCGAGAAACTTTTAGATAGGATCTAATTAGTACACTGTATTTTTGCCAGTATCACGAATGACTAAAACTTCAAGCTTATGAATTGTGAAAATGGATTCTCCAGTTACGTGTACTTAAATCGTATGAAGTTATTTCCCTTTTTGGTTTATTTCCAATCGGGATTATTCTCGATTTGTGTGTACCTGCTGGAAAGATAGAATATACGATTTCCATTAATGAAAGGTTTTGAAACTTTTAAGAGAGCGGACTTGAGAGCTCATCAGGGGATGTATCATTTTTAAAATGATCCACAAAGAAATTATTTCTACGCTGATTATTTTGCTGACAAAAAAGTGGCCGAAAAAACCCAAATGACACCTTTTTAAGTCCAATTACACACTCTCTTTTTTCTGAGGTATTTGATTTATATTTGCATTTTTGAACATTACTGTATTTTAAGAATGTTAACTTTGTGGGATTAACGTCGTTCTCAGGAAGAAGGATGTCTTCGATGTAGCACTTCAAGAGTCAGCAGTTCGGATTCATCAATGAACCTAAGATTAATCATTTCCGGACCCACAACTTTCTAGACATTAAAAGTACCAACCATTCAGTTTATGTAACACAGATTAATTATTATCATGGATAGTTGCTGATATATCACAAAATAACCGCTGTGTTTGGGTGTCCTGATACATGAATGTAAAGCTACTTTTGTCGTCCATTATAACACTGGTTTAAACTAACCTGGAGATATCTGGATAAATGGTCAACCTCACAGAATACAGAATTGACGGAAAATACCTATGACAGTTGACTCACTTGATGTGAACATCAGTAGCTTTTTTATCAACTGAAATGATCACTTCATACTCTCGTGCACAACTACCAAAGCCGAACCACTGAACATGTATTCAGAAGATGGACACTAAAAGATTCTTTTTGGTTTTTAGTCTATTTGTAATTTAACATACCATATTTTGTGATTTATTTAACTAATGCATACGGTTTTCTTTCTTTTTTGTTTTAGGATAGCTAAATCTCAACATTTTGATGACAGTGAACTTGCTCATATATTTTGGCGTTATGCTGATCATTTGTATAGGTGAGCAAGTTTTATGAGTACACTTATCGATAAGTGTACGATATGATTTTATAATATATATTTTTTTCAAACACTCCTATTCATTATTATTGTTACTATCATGCATACTATTAACTGTTTTTTTTTACTAATTTCGTCATTCGTCAGTTCTTTTAAGTACTAACCCCTTGTTCTTAGTGAACATTTAAAGAATCCTTACAATAAGTCTACTCACTTCATTTTTTATATCAATCTAACCAGTGACATTCTGACACTAATAGTTTCTTGTATATCGGATAGAAGGATATATGGAAAACAGTTAGCATATACTCAAGTATTAGTTTCTAGGGATTTGATTGATTGGTTACAGAATTTCATCATGAGCTGACATCGGTTATAGAACCATTGTAAAACCTGGGAGTGCTGGACAGCTTTCTCCATTGTCCTAGTTCGGGACTCTTCAGCAATACGCATCCACCGGGATTCGAACCCAGGGCCTCCTGGTTACAAGGCCAGTGGGCTCGTAGACCACTAAACCACTGGGACCCGATTCAGTGGCCATCTCATGAATCCCAACTTCTGCCGTTTCGCAACACAGCGCGACGACTAACCAATGTCTTCGGCGAGTATTTGTCCTCACACCCAATGGTTCTCTAACCGATGTCAGCTCATGATGAAATCCTGTGACCTGTTAGCATATAGCTTATTTTCTTTGAAAACTGTTTCTCAAATATACTAATACTACTGCCTACTTCCAACATGGAGTGTTGCAACTCCAACTGCTGCACTTCTGTTTAAAGTTCTATGTTGAAACCAGGCAGTCAGTTAGTCTACTTCCAACATCAAATAATTTCGTTTGATAAAAACACACAGTGTTACAGTATTATTTACTGGTCATGTTTCAAGCATAATTTATTGCTCATAATCACACCAATAGGAAACATCATCAGTAGATAACACTGTGTCGCTATATATTTCGTCAAATAATGAAATTATACTCTATCAATGTGCCTAAATTCTATTCATATGGATGTCGCTTATTCATTATTATGTATTCCCTTGGATTTCGAATGAAGTATAGGGCTTCATTAGCACATTGCCATTTCACCTTGTTCTCAGAAGGCTTAATCAGCCGGCTCTACGATCATCCATAAGGTTTCGTCATCTCACACGATCTCCTCCTTGTCACCCTAGGAAACCCAACTCACCGTTTCCCATTGGGGTTTCACTCGACAGCCTATCTGGCGCGTGATTTCACTGAGTGGTCTCATAGTGTGTGTCCAATCCATTTGCATTTTCTCCTCCAAATTTACTGGACAATCAATTGCTTGATTCGTTGCCTGACTCCCTTGTTTCTAATCCTTTCTGATCACCTTATCTTCAGTATACAGCAAGGAAAATCGCTGATAAAGTTTGCGGCAGCTTGTTGACAATGCTTTCCGTGACGGGGGCGCCAAATCTTCGAGTCATATAGAAGCGCCGACTTGACGTCAGCGTCGAAGATCCAGACCTTCATCCCTGAGTGGTTGACTGACTGACTGGCTTCAACTTAGAACTTTGCACAGAAGTGCAGCAGTTCGAGTTGCCACTCTGATCTTGATCCCTACGCTGTATGCAGCAGATTTCCACAACGATTTAAAAGTAATAAAGGTTGGTCATGCTTTTTGGTCCTGGCTTTGACATCTTCATCTGTTCTGCCTGTGGTTAAAATGTTGCTGCCTAGGTAATCGGTGTCGCTTACTGTAACATAATACATTTACTATATATATATATATATATATATATATATATATATATATATATATATATATATATAAATTACTGTTATAACTAACAGAAAACCATAAAACACACATGTTAGGGTTTCAGTAAAGCATACTCTGTGTTAGTGTAACTATGCATCTATGCAATCAAATATTTTCATAGTGCCTGTGGTTTTCTCACCCATTACCCTCTGTTTGTTTGTTAGCTGCCTATATCAGTTTCTTCAGTGCTTCCACAAAGAGTGAACGTTCTCAGGACTATTTTCATTATTTCTGTGGACCAGTGAGGTCATAACATTCAAATGTTTTCCGGTATTCTTCCAAAATATACTGACTAGTGTGTATGTTTTGACCTACACTTGTTTTTAGACAAAAAGATTATGATGCAGCTATACGGGAATATATCAAAACTATCGGTAAACTTGAAGCATCATTTGTTATCCAAAGAGTAAGCCTACCCTTTTTAAATTTCTGTGTATTGGATGTATTTCCAGTAGTTTCTTCAGTTTAATAAGAAGTGATATTGATTTTATAACTACATAAACAGTTTCTTAGTTGTATATAATATGCAAACTAAAATTCTTTAAGAATAACTCCTCGGTTACCAGAAGTTGAGAATAATGAGTAAGTTATGATGTCATTATTAGAGTAAGTTGTTGAAAAGGAAAGCGAGTGAAGAGAGTTACTGAACAATACAAAAATGAAAATGTCTTTAGAAGGGTACAGTATATGGTTGCTTCCTATTCCATTTCATTTACATAATTGTTTACGAAGATTATGATTTAGTTTTGTCCCTTGTTACCGTCGTCAGCTGTTTAAGCAGTAGAATATTCAGAAATTGTACTTCCTTGAATTGAATTCTAGTCAAAGACTAAACTTTAGTTTCTAAGATGTCTTTTTGTTGAACTCTGTCATAAACTAATGACTTAGAGGTATAACTATTCATGCTTGAAATACAGGGAATTTTGTTCACAACTGTTTTTTCATCTTCCGTTTGAACTGCCGCTGACTGATCCACTGAAAGTGGTTAGAATTTAGAGTCTAATGCATTCATTATTATTATATACAGGCAGAACTGATGAGGATATCGAACCGAGGGTCGGTAAAGCAAGGCAAGCTTTCATTTCTCTCAAGTCTATGTGGAGGTCAACAAGATCCGGATTTTCAACTCCAATGTGAATTCAGTCAGTGCTACTATACGGATCAGAGACTTGGTGCCGCGTCACGAAGGCCACTAAGAACATACTACAGATCTTCATCAACAGCTGTCTTCGTTCAATACCTAAGATCAGATAGCCATTAAAGATTAGCTACAGGGATCTCTGGGAGAAAACCAACCAGGAACCGATTGTACAACAAATCTGCACGGAGAAATGGAGGTGGATTGGCCATACTCTGAGAGAACCATCAAGTGACATCACACCACAGGCCATCACTCGAATGAAACCCGAATGGGAAGCAGCGAGCTGGTCGTCAGTAAGAGGGTGACATGGAAGAGGTGATGTGAAGAGGAGATGAAAGCATGTGGACAGACGTGTAGTCAAGTGAAAACGTTGGCGGAGAACCGAAAGTAATGGAGACATGTGGCTAAAGCCGTATGTTCCTGTAGGAACTAAAGGGAACATCAATAATATAATAATAATTGTTCCCCTGGGCTCCGAGCAGAGCATAGGGCTTCAACAGCACGTCTCCACTTTGTGCTGTTCTCTGCAGTCCTCTTTTGCTGGTTCCATGATTTTTATTGGGCCCTTATCTCCTCTTCACACAGTCTCCTCTATGTCACCCTTGAACACACGCCGAACTCAACATTTCCCATCTGGGTTCCACTCGAGGGCCAATCTGGAGTGCGATGTCACTCAACGATCTGCTTGGCGTATGCCCTATCCATCTCCATTTTCTTCTGCTTATCTGCTTGGCGATAGGTTGTTTGTGGGTTGGCCCCCAGAGTTTCATGTTTCTAATTCTTTCTAGCCTGCCATTTGGTCTTCAATATGGAGCCAGCGAGGGCAGTGGTTGATAAAAGTCTGCAATACCCTGTCGGAAATGCTTTTCGTGAAGTGTGCGCCACGTTTCTGACCCATATAGAAGAACTGACCTAACACTTATGTTGAAAATCCAAGTGTGGTTGTTTATGCTGAGTACAAAAGATTTTCAAACTAACTTCAGATTGCTGAAGGCGTATCTTACCTTTCCGATTCTGGTCTGCCTTGACATCTTCATCCGTTTCGATTGCCTGTGATTGAAACAACGCTTCCTGGCCAGATAAGTGAAAGCAATAACCTCGGTCAAATTTCTCCCATTGATGGTGATTACTGCTGGTTGTTGTTGATGTTGCTGTTCGTTGGTTATCTTCATCACCTCCATCTTCTGTATGTTCACCTGCAGTCCTGTCTTCGCCGCCATCCTCTTCCACCAGTTTGTTGGTTTTCGCCTGCAAGTCTTCGAGTTTGTGTGACATTAATCATAGATCATCCACACGTCAAATCCAGATCTTCTAAATTCTTCTTATCGGTCCAGCGTATCCTTTAAGCTGTGGGGTTATTTTAACTTAACATGTCTTAACATGTCCATGTATCTAAATGAGGCCTTTATGGTGCACATTTAGGTCGCTAATTAACAGTTTTATTAATGTCTATGTCAATGATTATTTTGTCTAAATAATTTTAATTATCGAATTGCCTTTTCTATGAATACTGTTTTTATCAGTTTCTTGAAGGTAGTCATATAATCCAATTGACGAGTTATTTGGAGGCTTTAAAAGATCAAAATCTGGCTACAAGTGATCATTTAATTCTTCTACTTAACTGTTATTGTCGTTTACAAGCTGAAGATAAAATAGAACAATTTGTCAAAGTAAGTTTTAATCAGTAGTAAACAAGTTAATTCTTTTTAAATTTGTTTTATTGTTACTCTGTCAATTCTGTCGACCGAGAGGTTCTCTGGCGATGCTTGGCTGTAAAGGGAATGCCGAGAAAATACATTGCACTGATTAAAGCACTCTACTCGTACTCATGCAGCCAGGTGAGGGCTTACAGCGAGTTGTCATCTGAAGTGGTGACGGCTAGTGGCGTCCGTTAAGGATGCCCATTATCCCCATTTCTATTCAACTTCATCATAGATTCACTAATGGACTTAACCCTAAATCACTTCAGAGACTCAGGGATTGACTTGCTACCAGGGAATAATCTCGTTGATTTAGAATATGCAGACGATATAGTCCTTCTAGGCGAGGACTCTGACAAAATGCAGAGTTAGATATGATAGAGAAGATTTGTAGCTCAGGTGAATGATTTTGATGTGGTTGTGTTCTCTGAGCTTCACAAATTAACTATCCAGCTCAGAGAACACAACCACATCAAAAAACATGCAGAGTCTTCTAAACACCTTGAGCTGCAATCTACGAATGTTTGGCATGCGATTCGCTCCCGCAAAATGCAAGATGATGTTACAGGATTGGACTAGACCGACTCCTAGATTAGAAATAAGAAGTGAAGTGGCAGAGCACGTTGACTGCTTCACTTACTTGGGAAGTACCATCAGACTCAACGGGTTGATCTCTGACGAAATCTCAGCACGGATACAGAGGGCTAGTTTCGCATATGCCAGTTTACGCCGTCTCTGGAGTAGACGCGATATCCGACTATCGACCAAAGGGCGTGTGTACTGCTAAGCCGTCCGCTCCATCCTCCTTTATGGCTGTGAGACCTGGCCATTGAGAGTGGAAGAAATGAAAAGATTAGCTGTCTTTGATCATAGGTGCCTGCGTTCTATCTCTCGTGTGAAGTGGTATAATAAGGTGAGCAATATTGAGGTTAGGCATCGGTCGAGTGCTAGGTAAGGCGGGGAAATCAATAGACGAGGCTGTGAAATTACATCGACTGAGATGGTTAGGGCATGTGTTACGTATGCCTAGTCATCGCCTTCCTTGACTGACGGGAGATGTTAGCTGATATAGGGTCAGGCTGGAAAAGAGCTAGCGGCGGTCAAACCAAAACATGGCACCAGTCAATGAAATCTACAACACTTAGTCTAGGCCACGTAGGAAGGTGTAAGCTTCCTGGTTGGGGTCCTCGGGATGGTAAAAACCAATGGTTGGAAACAATTGGTGACATGGCTCAAAATCTTTCCCAGTGATGGCGCAGATGCATCCACTCCTTGTGACTTATGACTTCCAATTAAACTGTTTTGTTCTTCGTTATTACTATTCCTTTGTCTCACACCTATGTTTCCTGTCTATATTATGCATTTCTCCTACTTTCTTCTCTTGCTTTGTGCGCTACATGGAGGAAGTGTGGCGACTTGAACTGCCGCACATCGTTGTAAAGTTCTATGTCGAAAACAGACAGACAGACAGACATTAATCTAAAGTTATTGATAGTTTTGATAAACCGTTGACCGTACTAAGATGGATGGTAAGGTAATTCTTACGAATCATATAGACGAATACCGATAAATCAGTGTAGAACTCTTTTCTTTTTTCAAAGATTCGTTGTGGGCACTCAGAAGACTGCATTTTGAAGGACTGAGTTGTCAGAGTACTTTTATTCAATAAGATCATTTCCATGTAGCAGGTCAATGACTAGAACGTAAAACATCAGGCACATTCATCTCCATCAACTCAGCCTGACAAAAAAAATGATGATATTTGGCATCGCTACTTTAGATGAGGACTCTTATATGGCTGCATTAGTTCGAGTAAACTAAGTTAATTAGCGTGATACGCTTCGTTGACATTCACTCCACATCAAAACATAATCACCTTCAGGTAAAAAAAGTAGCAAGTGAAATACAAGTGAAATAGCACCGGGAACTATTCAAAGGGAAAATAAAAGGGCAACTCTAAAGAATAGGAGCCCAAACCGAAACGACCTACGGACGCACAAATGACCTTGTCAACGACAACTTCGACCAATCAGAAGGCTCAAGAAAACGGCGCATGATTGTCAAAAAATCGTTTATATAAAAGTAATGCAATGTTAGAAGATAGTTACAATGGATAACGTTCTCGTATATGTTGCGGAAAAAGCTCCCAATTTCTCATAGGTGTCTTCATACTGATGTTAAACCAAGTTCTATACATAAACTCATCAAGATAACTGTATATCATTGGATTTCTAGATCCATTCACCAATCTAATCCGTTTTTTTAGGTGACTCCAGAAACTTTCGATTGAATTAGTATGAGTTCCATCCAAAGGATTGGGAAAACCGTTTGTGTGGTTGACTACATGATGAATATACCCGAGATTCGACAATTGACCGTAACTGCTCCATTCGTCTGTGTGAATAGTGGTCCCAGGCAGCACTAAGCGCTGGATAATAGGCAATAATACACCTGCACTGCGATTAGGAATCGCCTCGATATATCCTTTTCGGAGGTTGGTGTCATAGGTACCCAATATCCATTGTTGGTTTGCTCGTAATCTCTACCCTCTCGAACTGATTTTCTCCACCGGCACTCATTACACCTGTACACAAACCCATCAATGCAGTTTGTGTATTTTTGTATACGCATATCACTTCCGCACTGACAAATTTTCGACCTTGCAATCAGTCCCTTATCCAAACAGTAATCAAAAACAAGATCCGGAGCGAATTTACAACGCAAAAAGTGCAGAGCATCCATAATTACTTCTAGAAACAACAGAGCCAGCTGATTGATTTCTCAAGGTCGTTTGTGCGTTCGTAGGTCGTTTCGGTTTGGGCTCCTATTCTTTAGAGTTGCCAATAAAAGTACTAACAATCGTAATAGTATGAGAAACATATATAGAATAAATAAATATTGATACCTTGACGGCCGAGATAGAAATAGAGACTGTTCATACTACTTCTCTACTCAATAGTCTGGCTTAAATTCTTGAATAGCCAAAGCCTCCGTTGTTTAATGTGTCTATTACATATTTGGCTTCGTGTTTTTGTATCTTATTCTGACTTTCTTTTTAGACGCCTAATAGTACAGTATTAGATATTACATCCGCGCTACACGCTTTAAAACAGTCGAAGTATATAAATGCTGCTGTCAAATTGGCTGAAAACACTGGACGCTACATAGACTGTATTGGTCTTTTAATTGAAGACTTACATGATGGCAAATCAGCGCTTAAAATGATTGACAAACTTGATTTTGATGAGGTAAGTTAAAAGTGGTTTCTGGAGAATACTTTTCTTATACATGTGAGTGGCACAGTAATCGCGAGGAGTAAAGCCGGTTAATTTACACTACTGATTGATACTTGCAGTCAATCATACTCGGTAATCAGATTGAAATATTTTAAACGTCAGAGGGTCATTTTGATAGATGGTTGAAGGTAGTCGGTGGGAAGTCGTATCTGCGAAGCGTATCTGCAACCTTGAAGGAACTCGTCTCCCTTTTGAGATTGAAACTTCAATCACCCAGTGCTGCAGTCAGAGTCGTCGCCACTGAGCTATTACATTTCACGATTGACCTTCTGTAGGACTGTAATAGATACTTTATTAGGTAGTAACTAATGTCTTGTGTTTAGTCGTTGAATTGGTGCAGACTGAATTCTATCAGTCAAGTTCGCCTGGCTAATGAGTGTCAACAAATCCGAAACTTATATGGAACGCTTCCTGCTGCTTACCTCTGACCATCTAATAACAACAGTTCAGAGTACACCGTGATCGTTCACCAGATACTCAAGCAATCCGGGTTGAATTCCTGACCGATACGCTCCCAGATCTCTCCCTACCGGCAACTAGCTCACTAAAAAAGGGAAGTTTGGCGCGAAGCGTATCTACTGGAACATGAAAGTTTGAGGTTTGAAAGTCTATGTTCCACTGGGAACCGAATGAATGCGAAAAAACAATCCTATTTCATAATTTTTAGATGGAAAATGCGTTGGTCTGCAAATTATTACTGCGTTCAATGTATAAAGACACTTGACAAAAATCTGTAATTGTAAGTTTCATGTTTTACTGTCGTCTTTTGTGTCGAATAGTTCGGTAGTCAAGGATGCCAGCTAAAATATTTCATTGCTACCTGTAATTTAAAATGTTTATGAATATTTTTTTGGAAATAGTTTCAGATAGAAGTCTCTCCTGGTTAAGGGATTCATTTGTAGGCTAACAGGTTGATTGAGTCAACGCCATAGTACATTTTCGTCGATACGGCTAACTCAGTGGTAACATCTCTAGCTGCAGCAATGGGTGACACTGGTCCGAATCCCACAGGGGGCATATGTTCCTTCAAGGGTAAAGATACGCCTTGCTGACCTGTACCGACAAGCATGAAACTGGGGATTAGGTCTTCCTACTAACTGCCTCCGACCATCTAACTTATCTGTTTCGCCCACCTAATATATATGGTAGGATTGAATACCGCAGCATACTATGAAGACACTTTATTTGTAAACTTCTTATTGATAAAAAGAAACTTCATATTCTCATTAGGACACAGATGTTTTTTTAACTTGTCTCACCGTTTTTTTTTATCTGTATTTAATATTTTCCCATATTTCATGTTTGTATCAATAAAAAAGTAACATTAATTTTTCAGGCATTACAATCTATCAGTGAATACGGGCATCAGTTGATAACGCATTGTCCTGTAGAAACAATTCAACTATTGGATAAACTATGTGCTCATCCAGGTATAGTTAATACATATTTTCTCTATCATCTTTTATTTCGTATATTTTATATTTTGTCATGTTATTCTTAAATGTCACGTTACCACAGAAGAATACCACCACTTTATAAAAGTGTATCTTTTATATGATTCATTTATAGCTTTGTGTCTTCACTAATTACAGTGATCTTATAATTACTTGTTAGCTAGAGGCGTGTTTTTCACCACACGTTTGAAAATGTTTGACTTGTTAGGAGAAAAAAAACGATTATAACTTTGTGTCAGTGTATACTTGTCAAGGCACCAGGTAATAAGCTTAACCCTACTGCGTGATGATTATGTGATGATGGCGGAGTGTGATTTGAATTATTGACGCATTATATCAATAAGCCAAAAAATAGTAGTCATAATCGATGGTTGTATCAGTCATGGATTCCTTGACATTAATGTAGAATATTTCAATTCATTCAAAAGGAGGTTCTTTATTTCGTTTGATAATGAATTTATTTCTTTAAAATTAGAATTTTCTATTGGTTGGTCTTTTATCTTGATGAATGTGTTTCTCGCCACATTCATCAACCTGAAACCAATCTGGAAATCTTCGTCACTCAGCCTGGATCAACAACAAAATTTGGATTTTCAATACAAACGTCAAGTCAATTCTTCTATACGGATCAGAAACTTGGTGGGTCACAAAGAATATTTCCAACAGCCTGTTGCAGACCTTTATCAACAACTGTCTTCGTTCTATACTGAAGATTAGATGGCCGGAAAGAATCACAAACAAGAAGCTATGGGAACAAACAAAACAGGAACCAATCGCTCAACAAATATGCAGGAGAAAGTGGAGATGGATTGGACACTCGCTGAGGAGGCCACTGGGTGACATCGAGCGTCAGCCCAGTGTTTGAGTGGAACCCGAAAGGGCAGCGGCGAGTTGGACGTGCAAGAGTGACATGGGGGAGATCGTGTGAAGAGGAGTTGAAACAGCATGGACTAACATGGATGCAAGTGAAAAGTACAGCAGAATACAGAAGAGAAGCAAGTGGAGACGTGCAGTTGAAGCCCTATGTTCCACTAGGAACCCAAGGGAACAATAATAATAATATATATCAGTTGGTCTTTTATCTAATGATTTGGTCATCATTATTGATTGGAATACACCACCAGTGAGCTATATATCTAAGCCTGATATCATTATTATTTTTCCCTTTGGTTTCGACTGGTACATACCGGTTTAGCCACACATTGCCACTTCACTTTGTTGTCTGCAGTTGTTGTTGTTTTTTGGCTGGTTCAACGATTACCCATAAGCTTCCATCCATTGATCAAATGATCTCCTCCATTTCACTCTCGGATCCACGTGCAACTCAGCTAGTGGGACCTTCTTGGTGTGCGATTTCATTCAACTGTCTCTTCAGTGTGTATCCGATTCGTCTCCATCGTCTTCTGCATATATGTTTGCTGATAGGTTGTCGTCTGGTTCGTCACCTGTTAGAGTTTCTTGTTGCTGATTCATTCCAACTGGTCATCTGATCTTCAGTCCCGAACCAGCAAAGGTAGTTGTTGGCGAAATTCTGCAGCGTCAATTCTCTGAGCCATATAGAAACACTCACTGATTTTACACTAGTCTACTTATGCTACATACCTATGCTATCATGAGATCAATTGAGTAGTAAACGACTCCGTTAAAAGCATAATTTACATTTTTCATAAATATGAATATTCTTCAAATATTCGTACAGATGTTGAAATTGAATACCTGTAGTATAAAACTTCTATATATGCGTATATCTTTATTTCCATATTTGCCTACTCCATTGCAGATGTTTGTAAGGGGTCCAAGCGTAAGTTGTGTTTCATCCTACCATCTGTTTACTCTTAACTCCTAAACTGTTTTTTTTTGTCATTTTTGTAAGTCTTTTCGTTACATATTTCATTTTCAACTTACCGGGATAGTCTTTTTTCTTGTAAAGGAAATTTATCCTACTTCCTCTGCACTTAGTAACTACCCAGTTTCCTTAAGGTTACATATTTTCGTAGTTTTTGTTTTGGTTCTGTTCTCATGTTTACTGCTTCTTCTTTTTAAGGTATCTCTTCATAATCCATAATTGATGGAGATTAGAATTCGTGGGCTATTCGATTCTGTCCCAGGGACTGAATAGTCAACCAGTTCGCCTTGTAACCTGAAGGTGCTGGTTTAATTCCCAGGTAGGGTCATGGATATATACTGATGAACAGTCCCAAGGCAGGATAAAACAGCTGTCCAGTGCTCCCTAGTTTTCAGTGGTTTTTTAACTGAAATGCGTTCGTAATCAATCCTGAAATAAAGCTGATTGTTACGTCGACAATAGTGCATCGGTGGCACAGCGGTTAGCACGCTCGTCGACCATGCACATGGTCCGGGGTTCGATCCCCGGCCGATGCACTCCTTTACCTCGCTAAGCCAGAAATAAAGCTGGTAAAGAGGAAAGGTTGGGGATAAGGCTATAGCAACCCCATCCTGTAGAAATAAATTTCACTGCTACAGAAATTTCAAGCCACTAGCTTGAAGCCCTATGTTCCACTGGGGACGTGAAGGAATAAAAAAACGTTGCCAGTATATGTGTGCTACTTAAAAGCATCATCATTGTTAAAAATTATTGAATACAAAATCCAAAATGTACATTTTGTCCTCTTTAAAACCAGATAACTGCATTAACATGCATCCGCATAGACTGATGACGTTGCCACTGCAACTTGAATCCAACACCCATCATTTCAAACACGAAACCCTTTATTGACTAAGCCACTGGGACACGAAATTCACCTCTTGTGCAACGGGTAACAGTTGTTATTTATGGAAGTTAATTTGTATTTACTCGATCTCTGTTGACACCATCACTCACTAGGAATGTAAATACATCTTTTCTGGTCACCTGATCTTTACTATGTAGCTAAGGCAGTTGTTGATGAAAGCCTTCAGTAGGCATTTTAGAAATGTTTTTTGTGAAGCGCACACTAACTCCCTGAAGTTCCGGATTTTGGTCTTTGCACTGAGTGCTTTAGATTTCCATACTGATTCCAGAATAATGAAGGTTACAGGATTTCATCATGAACTAACGTGGGTTAGTGGATCAGTGAAAAATCTGGGAGTACTGGATAGCTGTTTCGTCCTAGTTTGGGATTCTTCAGTAGTACACACCTACTGATGTTCGAATCCAGGACCTTCTGGTTACACTGGGGCCCGATCCAATGGTCCATGAATTTCAACTTCTGCCAATTCACTATATGTCGCAACCACTAACGAATGTCATTATCGAGGTTAGTCTTGCTTTTACGATCCTGGCTGGCTTTCACATCCACTTCTTTTCCGCCTGCAGTTGAAACGATGTTGGCTGAATAGGTGAAAAAGTTGACTTCCTGTAGATTTCTCCCACTGATGGTGATTGTTGCTTGTTTTTTTCGTCAACTGTAGTATATCTGAAATATGTCTACCTAAAATTCTTTTTAATTATCAGGAAAATGTTTCATTTAAAGGAAATATAACATTTCTAAATTATACTTGAATCCGAGATAGAATGTCAATAAATTGTTACCCGAATTAAAGTCGATGGCTGCTCATTTTCATCGACATAAGAAAATGCAAAATATGTGATTATACTGTGTGATAGTTTCGATTTGCTCCCTTCAATCAACTCTGCTCTTAAAACAACATTATCCAAAGGTTTAAACAACATCATATATAGCAAAAGAAAGAATGACAACTCGAATATTAAATTGCAATAAAGTTAACAGCTCTATCATTGTACCTGGCTGTCTTACATGAAACTTCAAGCTTTGAGTATTCTACCTTCCATATGGGGTGTTTCCGTCACTCGTATATAGCTAATATTGCCAAATACGTAAACCGTCTAAAATCATCCAATGTCAGTTGTCATGTTAAAAAAATCATAACTTAGGACGGATCGTATTAAGATGGTATAGTAAAATATTTTTCAGCAGACCGTAAGTGTTGAAATCCAACAAAGTTTACAGTTGTTTGCTTCTTAGTTTTCATATTGCCTGCGTTCTGTCACCCTTGTGAAGTGGTATAATAGAATGAGCAATATTGAGGTTAGGCGTCGAGTGCTAGGTAAGGAGGGAAAATCGATCGACGAGGCTGTGAGGCTACATCGACTGAGATTGTTATGATGCTGGATCCTTTGTCACGCGGTCACTGCTTAACTACTGACTAGTGCCCGCTTAACTGGTAAAGCAGAACACGAAGAGAATCAACTGTAAAACCAGGTTTTTTTATTATGACAAAATTGACTGTATTTATACAGAAAATAAGGTAGACTGGAAATCAACCAATCCGGTTGAGAGTTTGAATTGTGCAAGCGTCCAATCAGAAGCAGGAACAATTGCATGTCAACGACTTGTTAATAACGCGATAATAACTTGACTGATGACCTGATAATTGCATGTTTTGCCTTTTCCTAACAGAGATGATTAGGACATGTGTTATGTGTTCTTAGACATCGACTTACTAGACCGATGGGAGATGTTAGGTGACATAGGGTCAGGCTGGAAAAGAGCTATCGGCGGTCAAACCGAAACCTGTCTTCATCACTCAATGAAATGCACAACAGTTAGTTTAAGCCAGCCAGCCAGTCACGTAGGAAGGTGTAGACTGCTGTGTGATTGGAGTCCTCGGGATAGTAAAAACATTTGGTGATATGGCTCAAAGTCGTTCTCAATGGCTGGCGCATATGCATCCACTCCTTGTGACTTAAAATACCCAATGAAACTATATTGCTCTTTGTTATTACTATTCTTTTTGTCTCATATCCCTGTCTACTGTCTATATTTTGCATTTCTTCTACATTCTTCTCTTGTTTTGTGTGGTACATGGAGGGAGTGTGGCAATCTGAACTGGTGCACATCGGTGCAAGGTTCTATGTTGAAAACAGACAGACAGACGGACTTAAATTAATATTAACAAGTTTATTTGTAACTTATGTTATATGTTTTCTTAATGTACTCGAAGGTGTAAAGAACTTTAAATATCTGGCCTTCTTTTTAAATACTGCAATTCAGAAGATTGTTTCTGCTTCTCTGTACCGTTCTGTTTTCATCATCTGATACTACTAATTTTTCAAGTTTCATTGTTTTTCTTTCTATAACTGAGATTTCTCAATAGACTTGATCACATCATATTGTCTAACACTTATTACATACATAATAATAAATGTAAATGGTGCCATATATGTAAATTAATAACTGTTATTATTTTTTTGAAGAGTGTATTCGTGTTACTTCTGTCTCTCTCTTTCTTTGTGTATGTTTACTGATGCGTGTTTCCTTCCCACTGTTCTTGTGTTCAGATTAATGCAAAATATCCACTGATTATAATGGGCCGATTTTCTCTTGTTTTTTCTCTTTTCTTTCGTTAATTTATAGATGCTAGTCGAATTAATGTACAGCATTTTCTAAAAGTCTTTGTCAATAATCCCAAAGGTTTGATGCAATTTCTTGATCGTTATATTAATGTAAGTCTCTCGTTTTTGCAACAGCTACCTAAAAATTATTTTGCTTACAATGTTTTAGAATTTTAAAGTGTTTAAAAATTCTCAACATTTCTCTCCGTCCTCCTTTATGGCTGTGACACATGGCTATTCAGAGTAGAAGTTATGAACAGACTAGTTGGCTTTGATCACAGATGTTTGCATTCTATTTCCCGTATTAAGTGTTATGCTATAATGAGTAATATTAAAGTTAGACGCAGAGTGTCATTTTGTAACGACAGAAGACAAGAGCCAGGCAACAGATCGTTTATTGAGAAAATCAACAGATATTTATAAATTTTTATGTACATTATTATAGTTTATTGTTAGCAGAGATTCAGCGTCTTCTGATTGGTTGCTCTCTCGCTGAAAGTTAATCTGTCATATCTTTGTGGCTATTTCTTTGAAGGTCAGACAATAAATTTGCGAATCGTATCTGCCCACGCAAAGTCTGCTGTGATTGGTTGTTGAGTTAGTCTTTGTTCTTGTTCTTTTCTCATGATTCAGGATGTAAACAATGACGTAAATTGGTGCCTACCAATATAGCTAGCAGACAGCTCTCACCACAATTTCATGAGCAAAAGTCAATGAATGAGGTTCTGAAGGCGAATCGATCGAGTTGTCTAGGAGACGTGTTGCGCATTCCGAGTCATCAAATTCCTCGACGGGTAATATTAGCTGACATAGGATTAAGCTGGAAAACAATTAGAGATGGCCAAACCAACGCGTGGAATAAATCTATAAAGTCTTTGACAGTTAGTGTGAGCCAACTACGCTGTTGAAAGTGGCGAGGGGGGGGGGCCTTTTTAGGCTTCCTGTTTGGGATCCTTCAAATTCGAAGAACCAATGACACGGATGAATTCACCTTTTGTAATATCCTATATCCACTAAGCCGTCATATTTCTCCATATTGCTGCTCTTTCTCCGTCACTTTTACTGCTTATTGTCAAAGTTCCTTTGAATCTCCTTTTTCCCTCTTTTGTCTACGGTTGTGTACTATATGGAGAATGGCAACTTGAACTTTTCTGCACTTTCTGTGCAACGTCCTATAAGTTGAAACTCAGTCGGCAGTTAAAATGCTTTACATAATAGTTTGTCTAGTGTACAGAAGCAGTCTTATCAAGTTTTGCTACTTTCATGTAGGAAATTTTTTAAATTTTCTCTCTTTTTACCATAAACTGCAGTTTTTGTTTAATTTCTATAAGTAATATATTCTGTAGAGTGGTAGAAGGATCACTTATTAGTCATATCGAAAAATTTTTCCACAGTTGTGGATATTTTTATGTCATAAATGACTGTCGGATGATTGCAAAGTCGAAATACGCTATTCGAGATGGTGTATTTCTTCCATATTTTGAAAATCTAAACTGGTCAAAGTTAAGGATGAGATTATCATATATGCAGTCAAACAGGTCAACAATCGGACAAGTATCCTACTTCCGTCCAGTGTTCCGTAGAATCTGTGAAGTCTAGATATTTCAACGAGATATGTTTCACACTTTGTATGACTCTCATCCAGTACTATTGATAAGTGTTCTTTCTTGTCTTTACTATGCATGGTACAGTAGACTATAGCTTTCCATTATAAATATTAAAACCGTCTACTTCTAGAGTTAGTTATTCATGAGCCCCGAATTATTGTTCACACTTTGGTGGTTGTCAATATTATTATATTATTGTTGTTCCCTTGGGTTCCTAGTGCAATATAGGGCTTCAACTGCACGTCTCCACTTGTTTCTGTCTTCTGCTGTACTTTTCACTTGCATCCATGTTAGTCCATACTGTTTCAGCTCCTCTTCACACGATCTCCTCCATGTCACCCTTGGACGTCCCACTCGCCGCTTCCCTTTCGGGTTCCACTCGAGCTATGGCCTGACGCGCGATGTCACCCAGTGGCCTCCTCAGCGAGTGTCCAATCCGGTGGTTGTCAGTAAGTAATACGTAATCACATAACTCCCTACATTCACTTTCTTTTTCTTCCTCTAGACTGCTGTATCATCTAAACTGGTCACAGGTGTCGTTGATACATTTCTGGAATTAATCCTATATGAAGCGAATCGATTAAAAGTTAATAACTCCTCCATTGAAGAATCGAATGAATTGTTTAAAATGGCAATGAAATTGTTATCTAATAATGAGGTTAGTTCACTCTATTTTTTTTGCTGTCATTTAAAAAGTGAGAAAGTTGACTGATGTTAAGTTTAGACTAAAGACAGGTTAGGACTGGGTTAACCTAATTAGGCAGATATTAGGGTTTGTGCGAGGTAGATTACGGTTGGAGTTAGGATTAGAAGACCAAATTGACCTTGAAGCGCTATGACTCTTTCGAAGGTCATTCGATGCGTTCACACTTCTTCCGTACCTAAATTCTAACTTCTTCTGCACTTTGGGGTACATAGAAACCTAAAACCATCATTATGGTAGGACTTTTGTGTACATATGATGTCGCTAAAAATGTAAAATATATCTCATGTAACTTGGTAACGTAGATTAATATGTTCAAGCTAGCACTGACTGTTATTATTCTAACTGTAGTGTTAACTCATCAGCAGTCATTGAGATGCATTAAGTTCGAATGTTTATTATTATTATTCCCTTGGGTTCCGGGTGGAACATTGGGCTTCAGCAGTACATCTGCACTTTGTGCCATTTTCTGCTGCCCTCTTCAACTGGGCTTATGATTGCCCATAGGTTCTAATCTCCTCCCCAGACGATCTCCTCCATGTCACCCTTAAACGACCCACTCGTCAGTTCTTATTGGGATTCCACTCTAGGGCCTGGTGCGCATTGCACGCTATGCCATTCGATGGCCTCCTCAATGTATGCCCAATCCATCTCCATTTTCTCCTACATATATGTTGAGCAGTCGGCTCTTGGTTGGCTTTCGTGACACGCAGTACAAGTTTCTGACCGGTATATAGAAGAACTGACTGAGTTGACATTGGTGTTGAAAAGCCGAATCTTGTTGTTTATGCCGTGAAGAGCAGAAGATTTTCAAACTGGTTTCAGGTTGATAAAGGCGTATGTTGCCTTTCGAATGCATATAGCCACTTATATTTCTAATTTAGTCAAGATGTTTTTGGGATATATGTCACCTTGTTGGAACCCACTATAGCATATAAATTAAATTCGCTAATTCGCGAACTTCTGTATGGAACTTTTTTCTAAATTATGTTATGATACCTTATTAACTTATAAGATTTTATATGGGTACAACGCTAGGTGAGAGAAGGACTGAGCTTATTCTACACTTTTGTCATTAATTTCATGATTCCATCTCATAACTGAAATGAAAATTGTTGGATTCTTCATCACAGACATTTCTTAGTTATGTCGAACTTGTTAACATAGAAGTTAGCGTAAATGGTACTTGATATCAGAAGGTATTTGATTTGAACCCTTAAGTACATCATGATTATATGCCCCTAAAGAATATTACAATGTGATCAAATAGTATTCTTGTTGTTATGACGGAGTGTTACTGGGTTGAATTATTTTTTAATATATTTCTTGTGCATTCAAGTTTTTGCAGCAGTTTGATTGGTTTTGTGATGTAGGGTCGCTAGCCCCACACTCAACCCACCCTCTTTACCTGGGCTTGGTACTGGCTAGAAAACTAGCAAGCTAGTAAACTAGGCGAGTTTTATTACTGGGTTGTGGGCTTGTCTAACTTGACTAGAATACGCCTGCGGAACGCAATACTATAACTAACCGATCACTTGTAAATTATCTCCCACACTGAGATAGACACAAAAGTCAGCCTGGAAAAAACGATAATTGGAAGAACCACAGCAACATCTCTTGTTAGACAAAACACATGGTGAATAGTACATTTAAAAATCCTGAGAAATTTAAGCCATAAAATAAACGAACCAAAACTGTCCAACGTGGTTATCATATCAGCACATGCATAAATCATGATTTCATGGCTGACAAAGAAGCTTGTCTGCCTTAACACTTGTGTTATATATATGACAATTATTCAGACAAGTTCATCTGGAGATATAAAGTAGTCAGAACACCAAGACCCACTCTACAACTCACCCCTAAGGAAGACGTGTACATCAAGCTACCCTATATGGGGCATCATAGCAGCTTGATAACCAAACAAAGACTGAACGCTGCTGTCAAAAAGAATTTTTATGAAGCTAATATCATAGTAATAGAGAATGTGAAGCCAATATATCTAGCTAAGCCCTTCGAACATGCGAAAAATGATGTCACATCCCACTGTTTTTACCAATTTGAATGTACGTGTGGACACATATACCTAGGGAGGATTCATCGGTCTCTGCAAGTAAGGGCTTCAGAGCATATTCCTAAATGGCTCCAGAAACAAATGGGATCTTCAGAACCCATTAATGGTGAGACCTAGCTCCTCTATTGCGAAACATTTTATAGAGACAGGACATAAAATTGACGTTAACACATCTTTTAAACCTATCTATAAAACGTGTTTGGGGCGTATCCTAAAGTTTGTGGAAGCCTTAGCAGGCAATTAGGAAGTTTAAACCACTTTTATGTGCTCACAAAATAATTCGTCATCACATTAAACCTTTCTTGGTAAACTTTGTTTTGATACCAGCTAGGGTAGATGTACTATTACCTCTGCTATTTGGTTTAGTGGTCTTCATTGTTATTTTGACCTTGAACATGTCTTTTTAACTTGACCTAAGTCTATTTTCTCACCTTTTAACTCTTTATTAATTTTTATACATATTCGTATGACAAGTCCGTGTGTGATCAGATTGTTCGAAATGTATTGCGCAAATACATTACACGATTCAGACAAATTACGTCTTATTATTACTTTATATAAAGAGATATGTTCATCGGCATAAAACGTCAAATAGCAGGGAGATAGATTTGATGTCAGAGAAAGCAAATGATACATCGTTGCGGAGATACATAGGAGACGTTAAAGAAACACGAAGATACACAGTATGTAGGCCAGAAGTAGCAAAAGACGGAAGATATGTGCGAATGATGCGTTGAAGATAAGATGTACATAATTTCGCTAGATAGATATATCAAATTGCAAATAAACATCCCTTTATGAAGTCTCTCGTCTTAAATCGTTGAAGTGGTATTATTTTTATTCACTAGTTCTTAAGAAAGTATCTTTCTCTATTGTACCTTGGATTCTTTTTTCTTACGACAGCTTAATTACGATGAAAAGAAGGCTTTGGTTCTTTGCCATCAACGTGAATTTTATGATGGTTGTATTTATTTATGGGAGAAACAAAAGTTGTAAGTCTGCCCTTTCCCTTTTTCTTTAGGCGCGTAATTCATTGTTAATGATATCATTATTTTTCTGATATTTTAATCTCGTTTTATTTTTGGATTTCACTTTTTCTGTAGATACGATCAACTGATTCTGCATTACATAGCAAGAAATATGAATAATGAAATATTGACTGTTTGTGAAAAATATGGGTATGTCATTGGGTCTTTTAATTGATTACCTCTTGTGTGCGTTGTGATGATTTAATTTTTCTATGGTAGTGATAGAATACTTGAGAAGTGCTGCGAATTCAATCAGCTAGGTGGGAGTTCACTTCACCCATTGAATTAATTTTTAAAAACTACCAGCGATTCATCGCACTTGTGCGTCGGTAGCACAGCGGTAGAATGCTCGCCAACCACGCATGCAGTCTGGAGTTCGGTACCCGGCCAACCCACTCCTTTGCCTCGCTAAGCCAGTAATAAGACTGGTAAAGAGGGAAGGTTGGGCATGAGGCTAGCAACCCCATCCTGTAAAAATAAACCCCACTGCTACCGAAACTTCAAGCCTCTAGCTTGAAGGGGCCCTATGTCCCACTGTTAACGTATGGGAATAAAGTAGAAAAAATTCATCGCACTAATCTTTTCTCATCGTTAATTTGTCTTGAGACTATTTTTTTTAGTATGGTTTCGATTATAATCGACTTTAGTTAGAGTACCGCCGAAAGCCATCGAGTGCCATCAGCTGTTTCGTTGTTGTTCAGGACTTTGGATGTACACAAATAAAATTCCCAAAAAAGATGGAATCTAAAACCTTCAGGTAATACTGGAAACCCACTACTAAACAATCACTCAGTTAGAATTCATTATAAATAACTTGGAATATTTAACAATCCATTGCAAATTAGGGCGAACTGCTGTCTAGCCTTCTTTGGTTTTTGAATGGTTTCCTAACTGATGTTGATTTGGAAAGAAATCGACCTTGACGTCAATGGAGAGTCTCCATAGAACCAAAATCTGAGAATCACTCTATCAGTTTTGTAATAGCACAATAATTATTGAAAAGTTACACATATGTTTATTATCTAACCGTTATGTCTCTTATGATCAAGTTATATGCTTTATTGTCGATGGTTTACGAAATATTTTTGATTTCCAGCTATAGAAACTGTGGTTGTTGCTGTTTTTTGAACTCAAATCTGCTTAGGGAGACTTAAGAAGTGCTTCAACCAGGGACCGAAACCCGGACCATGTAAGGCGTGGTTGGCGGAACGTTCTACTGCTGAACCACACATCCTAATCAGTCAGAGCATAGTTTTCATATCTTAAGCTTATAATTCATTGGTCATGTAAAGTCGGTATATAGTTAGCTGTATTTTTTCGTCTCAGCCTTTTTCTTGGAGCAATAAATCTTTGCCTTCCTTTATCAGTCTTCTGTCTTTCTCGGTGAGAGGATAGTTTTCGAGTCGTCTCACATATATATATATATTGAAGTATTGGTTAGAATGAATACAAATCTATTATCAGCTTAGATAGATAGATAGATATGTCAACCTGAATAATTATACTTCTCAATATCGCAAATGCAAGGCAACTGGAAAGAAAAATTTAAGAAAGCAACAAATCTCTAGATAACTGAGATTCACTTGATTATTGACCTATGAGTGTACGCTACCTAAAGCTACTTTAGGTCGTTTGCAGCGTGATAGAATTCGAATAAAGTAGTATGTATGTAATGACTTTAAGTTACATTTGATGACTGTAAACTGAGAACAATCTAAGCTGTTTTCCTGATGATATTTGAGACATCTCTTTGCATTTTTATTCTAATATACGCAACACTTTAATTTTATGTCTCTGTTACGAATTTACAGTTTCGTAATTTTTTACAAAGTTTCGTTTCGTTTACTGTTGGTTGGTTATCTTCATCACCTCCGTCTTCTCTATGATCGCCTGCAGCCCTGTCTTCGCCCTCTACTTCTTCATCCAGTTAGTTGGTTTTCACCTTCAATTCTTCGAGTTTGTGTGACATTATTCATAAATCATTTGCGAAATCCAAATCTGCTAGAGTTTTCCTATTGGTCCAGCGTATTTTCCTGCCTTCTCACTCCTCACAGTCTGGCGGATAATCCAGTCCACCACAATTAGCAATATCATTGGTAATAATAGGCAGCTTTGTCTAACTCTTGAATTCAAAGGCTTCGCTGAATTTTCCGTTGTGGATCACCTGACACGTAGCATTGTCGTATAGCTGTTGAATGAAGTTGAATAAGATCTGGGGCACTGCATGTCGAAGTGTTGAAGTAGTTTCCAAATTACTTCTCGGTAAACACTGTCTGTCGAAGGCCTTTTCGAAGTCTATGAAGTTGAGGTAGAGAGTTATTGGTATAAGTATAAAACTTGACTACCTTTCTATGCCTTGCTCGATGACGATGTGTAGAGTTGATATTTGGTCAGCATATGATTTGCCTTTCCTGAATCCAGGTTGTTCAGATGGTTGGCGGAGTGCTGTATGCAGTGCATCTCTTATTCTCTCCAGGATGACCTGAATTAGTATTTTACTTGGCGTGGACAATAGCATTATTCCACAACAGTTCTTATTGAGGCTTAAGTCACCCTTTTTTGGTAGCTTGACAAGGTAGCCAGCCTTTCTTCCAATCCACAGATAGGCACCTTTCCTTCCTTCCAAAACTCTCGCAATAATGGAGTGAGCACATCTGCCACAGTCTCTGGGTGCGTTTTCAGTTCTTCGGAGTGGGGGAATTCCATCTGGCCCTGCTGCCTTCCCGAGTGAACTTCAGTAGCCTAATTGCATTCAAGTTTTACGCTTTCGTTGGAGGATTGGTGTCCATCGACAGTTCTGTGCATGGTGTTGATGATATTTCTGGGCGAGTCGCAGGTGATGGTCAACTCAAGAGTCCTTTGAAGTGATTAGTCCATTGTTTTATTTGCTTCTCCTCCTTGGTTATCAGGTTCCCTCAAACATCTTTTATTTGTTTCATGATCTGGCTTGATCTCTTCCCCGATGGAGTTCTAGTTATCTGATATAATTTCGTGAGGTCTCTTTTACCTGCGGCTAGCCTGTTCTGCTTCAGTTGCCGGCCAGTTTATCTTAGAATTGTCGTTTGTCTTTCCTAGCACTCTTCTCTACTTCTTTATTCAGTGCAGTGTACACTTAATTCAGATTCTCCTTCTGTTGTCCATTTTTCCATTGAGTCATCTATTCGCTTTCAGGTATCCGTTAAGAGCCATTCCTTGTCTTGTCTCTTCTTTCTTCCCGGAGCAGTTGTACGTGTTTCATTGAACTTCATATTCAGAGAAGTTCCAATGTTGCTCCACACAATCTTTCTCAGTGATATCACCTAGTGTCTCCGAATTCGCTCTGATCTGTAGTGAAGGTATCTCTTGTAGTTTTGTCTTTCGGTTTCTGAATGTTGAACTTGAGTTGTGGCCTGTTTCCAAAAATTGTTTTGAGGGATTTCAGCTTTACCTTGAAGGTTCCTTGAATTAGATAATGTTCTGAGCCCACATCTGCTAACCTTCTTGACTTTATGTCCAGCAGGCTACGTCTCCACTTTCTTGAGGAGCATTGAGATGAAATCTATACGGTTAGTGGTGTGTCCGTCAGGCGAACGCCATGTTGCTTTGTGTATATCCTCATGCCTGTACACGCTGCCTCTGATCACCAAATCATTGAAAGCACAGAAGGCTGCGAATAATTCTCCGTTCTCATTCATTTCATCCAGAGACACCCTCTCGATCCATGATTAGTTTCCTTCCCGTATTGTCAGTTCCCAGTTTGGTATTCATATCTCCCATATGGATTTTGATGTCTCCACTTGGGATGTTGTCCATTGCTGTTTGTAGCTGTCTACAGAAATCTTCCTTCTCTTTTTATGCGTTGTTTGTAGCACTGTGCGTAGCATTGCATGATAATTGTGATCTTCTTTCTTTCCTTTTGAGTTGAATCTTGCTGTCATGATCCTGGAGGTGGAGATTGGTTCCCACTGCATTAGGGCTTTGTCTACCATTGGTGTGTTGGTGGTTTTCGTCTGAATGACCGGTGTATATTATTGACTCTCTCGTTCACAATGTCAGTTCACATCCGTTCTATCGGCTCTTGCAGATTCCTAGCACTGTTATGCCGTAGTTTTTCATTTCTTTGGCTACCTGGGCAGTCTTCCCAGCTGGCCCCGTACATTGTACGTACATTCCCCATCCCTATTCTTATTTTCGCTCTCATGGAGAGAAGACACATTGGCTGGCTAACTGGCTTCCTGAAGGTTTTCACCAGCCCGTTTTGTCGTTTTGCCTCTGCGATTGTAGCTAAGAATAAGTTTGTTTTATATATTTTCTTTGTTTTTTTAAAAATATTTTTTTGTGCATTGAAGTGTCTGTAGCAGTTTGATTGGTTTTGTGGTGTAGGGTCGCTAGCCTGACTCCCAATCCTCCCTCTTTACCCGGGTTTGTGATTGGCTAGGAAACTAGCGAGCTAGTAAACGAGTCGTGGTTAGAATTCGAGTGGCTTCATCCATTTTGCGTATTTCAAAGTTTAATCTTATTGTGTTAACATGCAAAGAAGACCATATGTCACCGCCATCAATTTTTTTTTCAAATTTCTCGAAAGTGGAAGTAATTTTGTGATTGTTTTAATTATATTTTTTATGGTTGACTAATAATGCATATTTTATTTCTTTCCTAACATGTTTGCAATTTTTTTTGTACTTATTGTCTGTCCAGCAATCAAATGCCTAAACTATGGCTTACTGCTTTGGCTTATTATGCACATAAACCGGAACATTCAGATATTCTTAAACGAGTTATAGATCGTGAGTCCTCATTTACCTAATTGATTTTACTTATGCACATTATTTCTATTCTTTTTCACAGTTTTACTTAGAGGTAATGTACTCGAAGTGAAGTACCTTTTAACGACTTAGTATAGTCGTTTTGATTGATTTATACAGTTTTGTGATAACGCGACGACTATTCCACTTTATTTTGTATTATTTCATTTGCGAACGTAGCATATGAATACTTCCTAGTGTTATTGAGATGGTTGAAGATAGATTTATGCAACACCTACCGCCTAGTTAGTTGACCGATCATTAAATCTCTCACTTTTATCGAGTGATTTTTATGATACATTGTTGAACTATATAGGAAGAATGATGAATGCCATGACTCTGACACCTCTTCCTAGCTATTTGTTGTATATATCTGGGTTTAAGTATCCATTTTCTTTGTATTGTTAAGAATTATAGTTAAGCAGGTTGTTTAGTTGTGATTCGATGTCGTCTCAAATCATAAACTTTTTCTTTGTTACTGTGAATAATAATTGTTGATTTGCCTTATATTTCTAAATTTTATCTCATTGCAGAAGTGGACAGTCTAAATTTGGCATCTCCTCTAGTTGTTTTACAATTATTGTGTGATACTGATGCTGAACACTGCTGTAATGTTGGGACAGTAAGGGTATGTTGTTTATAATGTCACTTAAATTTGTTGAATATTTTTATTCCATTAAATTTAATTTTGACTACTATTGATGTGAGAGCTTATGGACAGTCGTGAAAGACTGCGAAGAACAGGGTGAAATGAAGATGTTCTGTTGAAGCTCCATGTTCCACTCGGAACCAAAGGGAATAAATAATGATAACAGTACCATGGATCACAGTACAGATGTGGTGAGAGCTGGCTGCAAACAAGCCAAAATTGTAGACAACAATTTACATCAATGGTACTTCCGTAATCAGGGTCGTGAGGAAAACAATAACAAAGCTTAACCTTGAGAAATTCACTAGCCAATCACAGCGGACTTAACGTGTGGAAATATGATTCGCAGATGTATGACTTCATTTTCTGAGAAACGGTCACAAAGCAATACAGAATAACCTTCAACAAGAAAACAACCAGTCAGAAGAGGTTTCTTCTCTACTGACAATAATGTACATAAAAATCTATAAATATCACTTGCCTTGTCTTCTGTTGTTACACAGATACATTGTTTTCTGTAAATACAACATATCCATTACATAATTATAGCGCTGCACTAAGTGTGACTTACTACTGAAATCGACTACTTAAATCAATGAACTAGTCCCCTTTACAATAGTCTAAATTTGTCTGTCTAAAATGATACTGAACATTATAGTAATTTATACTTCCAATTGTTATAAATAAGTCTACTATCAATATGTTTGCCAAGCCGAAATACATTACTCATTGTACTGTACTAGTATTTAAATGTAACTTTTTTTAATTACATATGTGTTTGTATGTTCGATTCATTGGACAGTGAAGAAGTTTTAAAGATATTTGTTCGGTGTTAACTGTATCTGAAGTTTAGAATGTGCTTTTCCTCCTTTATGAGGACTCGTGACATGTATGCGCATGCATCTTGGTAAGCCTGACTGACTGAATATCAACGTAGAACACTGTGCAGGAGTGCAGCACTTCAATTTGCCACAAAGGTAGAGAAAAAAAAATCAAAAGACCTGTAATTATGAGAAATGTTCAGAAGAATGAATAATAACATGAAAAACAGGAGGATTTAATGGATTTGGGAGATTGAAAAGAGTGACTTCATCTGCACCAATGACGACGATTTGCAGGACTGGAATACACTGACTCCTAGCTTAGAAATAGGGAGTGAAGTGGTAGAGCACGTTGACCGCTTCACTTATTTGAGAAGTTACATCAGCCAACGCCAACGGGTTGATCTCTGACGAAATCTCAGCACGTATAAAGAAGGCTCCTTTTGCATATGCCAGTTCACACCGTCTCTGGCTTAGTAGAAGTGATATCCGGGTATCTGGGTATCAACCAAAGGGCGTGTGTACTGCTCATCAGTCTGCTCCATTCTCCTCCATGGCTGTGAGTGAGACCTGGCCATTGAGATTGGAAGACATGGAAATGCTGGCTAGCTGTCTTTGGTCATAGGTGTCTGCGTTCTATCTCCCATGTGAAGTGGTATAATAGAGTGAGCAATATTGAGGTTAAGCATTGAGTGCCAGGTAAGGAGGGTAAATCAATCGACGAGGCTGTGAAGTTACATCGACAGAGATGGCTAGGACATGTGTTATGTGTGCCTAGCCATCGACTTCCTCAACCGGTGGGAGATATTAGCTGACATCGGGTGAGGCTGGAAAAGAGCTAGCGGTCGTCAAACCAAAACATGGCTTCACCGGTCAATGAAATCCACAACAGTTAGTTTAAGCCAGCCAGTCACGTAGGAAGGTGTAGACTGCTGTGTGGTTGGGGTCCTCGAGACGGTAAAAACCAATGGTGGCTGGAGACAATCAGTGATGCATCAACTCCTTGTGACTTATAATACTCAATGAAGCTATATTATTCTTTTTATTACTATTCCTTTTGTCTCAGATCCCTATCTACTGTCTATATTTTGCATTTCTTCTACTTTCTTCTCTTGCTTTGTGTGGTACATGGAGGGAGTGTGGCGACTTGAACTGGTGCACATTGGTGCAAAGTTCTATGTCGAAAACAGACAGACGATTTGGAGCCATATGACCAACGGTTTGAAGTCATTGGTTCCTATCATCCCGAGGACACTAGTTAGCCATTCTACACCACCCTACGTGACTATCACCAACAGTCAAGGACTTCGTGGATTGATTCCATTTTTCCGTTTGACCATCCCTTACTATTTTTCAATCTAGTCCTATGTCAGTTAACACTGCTGAACGAGGAAGGCGGTTTCTAGACATACGTAACACGTGTCCTAGCTATATCAGTGGATGTAACTCCACAACCTGATCGATTAATTTGGTCTGTGTCCTAACACTGCACGCCTTACCTACTGTATTATACCACTTAACCATCCTAGTAAGTGGATGGTGTTCTCACTAAGACTCAAACTGAGAATTTATTATAAACCTAGCCACCCACTGTCGATTCAGTATCATTCAGATTATTTTTTTGTACTAGTCTTATTTATTCTAAGACGTTTTGTATGCAATTCATAATAGTTGGGGCCTGGTTCTTGTAGTTTGAATTGTTAGCACTCCTTTATTGAGGGATAGTGGAATTTTTCTGTGTGTATATATGACAGGTGTTGAGTTTCTTCTACTCCAGACATTTGGTGTTGATTCGATAAATAAAGCTTCAGTTGTTAGTCTCTTTCGTAACCTGTAAACGTAGTGTTTATGGTCGTCGCTTTGTTTCATCATACTATGATGGTCTATCGTTATTATTATCATCACTATTATTCCATATAATTAACAAGGTGTCTTTTCGCTTTACTTTGAATTATGGGCATTTTTATGTGAATAGGAATACTTTCTTCGTCATTTAGAAGCTGGCAGTAATCAAATAAATACTATGAAAAATGAAGTTGATCGTCTTCGGAAAGAAACTATGCGTAATCGTGAAGTTGTGCGTAAATTAAACGATCAGTAAGTTTGCTTCTTCTGTTTTAATTTTCTCTTTGTATTAGAAAATTCAACTGATCACTTAACCATTCATACATTTGTGTAGCATAAATAGGGTTAAAAGCTGATTGGCGTGATATCTTAGAATTTGAATTTTAGCAAAGCGTAGTAATTTTAATTACTGGATCGTATGAATCCTTCTTTGTAGAATTACAGCCTAATCTATTTGCTTCAGATTATCCTGTGTTATTACTATTAGGTGGTAAAATAGGATGAGTAACATTGAGGTTAGGCGTCGAGTGCTAGGCAAGGAGAGAAAATCGATAGATGAGGTTATGAAGCTACATCGATTGAGATGTCTAGGAAATGTGCAACGCATGCTTAGATATCGCCTTCCACAACGGGGAATGTTATCTGACATAGGATTGGATTGAAAAAGAACTAGTGGTAGTGAAACCGAAACGTGGAAGCACTGCATGAAATCTTTAACAGGTAGTTTTGAACCACGTAGGACGGTGTAGGCTTTCTGGTAGGTTGCGTCAGGATTCTTAGGACCAATGGCTGAAAACTGTTGTTTTCACCATGTTACTATTCTTTCTCCCTCACATTTCTGCACGCCATAGTTCTTTTGAACCTCTTTTTTTCTTTTATGCCTTCCTTTGCGCGCCACATGGAATGTGACAACTCGAACTGTTGTACTTCTGTGCAGAGTTCTGTGTTGAAACCAGTCAGTCAAGATTTCAGTAGTGGTGTTGTTTTCACCGGGGGGGGAGGGGGTTGCTAACCTCATGCCTAACGTTTCCTCTTACCTGGGCATATTATATACCAGTAAACTAGTGGTCATTTGGACGTCTATCGGTCAGGAATTAAATCCCTCAGTAGGAACAAAACAATTTACTTTTCATCAACTTTGTATCGGCAGATTTTCGCTCGTCAGTTTTTTTCATGACAAGAGGAGTGGTTTTAGTAGATAAATGACATACTGCAGTAGTGTTATATGAAATGTGACACAATGGTCCCAGAACCTATTTACCAAACTAATCCTTTACCAGTGGACGAAGAAAATTTCCATATTGAATCATAAAAGAGAGTTGTAATATCTGAGGAAAGCTTATTTTTTTATAAATCATTTTGAAAAGCTGTATAATCGTATTTGTATGAAACAGAGGATGCGCATAAAAAAACCAATCAAATCCTAGTAGTGATTGTGTTGTCGAAAATACCTTTATATAATGTGAAGTATAATCTAGAAGGGGTGCGTCGGGGGCATAGCGGTAGGACGCTCGCTGACCATGCACAAGGTCCGGGGTTCGATCCCCGGCCACCGACGCACTCCTTTACCTCGCTAAGCCAGAAATAATGCTGGTGAGGAGGAAAGGTTGGGCATCAGGCTAGCAACCCCATCCTGTAAAATAGACACTGCTACAGAAACTTCAAGCCACTAGTTTGAAGCCCTATGTTCCACTGGGAACGTGAAGGAAAAAAATAATCTAGAAGGGGGAATGTACAAGTAGAGATTAAGATGAAATGAATTTACAAAATCTAGTTGAAAATACGGTGAAGTGTTTCTTATTGACTGACTAGAACTTCACATTCATGCGGAATATTCTCAAAATTAGTTCAAAAAACGATTTCGCAGTTTTTCAGTTTGTTCTGCTTTTCTGAATTACTTCTCTTGTGTGATAAAACTATACTTCAGAGTAGTATTCAGTTAAGCTGTTTACCTATAAACTGAAGATTCTTTTCACTGGTTTTTTTTAAATAACTGAACATGTGTCTGTTGCATTTTTTTACAAACATTTTTAAGGGTGAAAATATTTCAACAACAAAAGTGTGTATTATGCCATCAAAGTCTTGAGCCTCCATCAGTTCACTTTTTATGCGATCATTCTTACCATAAAGTGTAAGTTTTTTTTTAAAATAATTGCTTTAATTTTCAAGAGTTAGTTTGTAGGGTGTTTCGTTTGTTTTGAGTTTCATCAGGGGTTTGATATCCGTTAGAGAACCATTTGAGACCAGGGAGTATCCAAGACAGCTGTTTCGTCTTAGTTTGGGATTTGTTTTGCTTTTCTTTTGTTTGTTTCTCTCAGTGGAATTGTTCTTACATAGTAGTTTTCATAACCGATCAGCATCATTTCCATAACGAGTAAAATCAATAGGAAGGTATTTCACCATTAACCCCCCCCCCCCCCGCATTATACTACATATAGCAACAGACTTCATAAACTCTGAAGTGTGATCAAAAGAGTGAACCCGTTGCGTTACCAAGACAGTTACCTTATTTATTGTCATCTGACTACTCAACGTCTAATGACCTACCAAACAATTGATACAGTTTGTCTTTGGAGGATTTGTGTAGTTGAACTATGAACTACTGACATGATTTCGAACAGCAACCACAGTTTTCATCTGTTTCTTACATTTATCGACATTCTGATAATAGTTTGATCATGGGCTGAAATCAGTTAGAGAACCATTGAAAACCAGGGAGTAGTTGACAGCTGTTTCATCCCAGTTTGGGACTCATCAGCAGTACTCGCCCACCGGGTTTCAAAACCAGGACCTTCTTGTCACAAGGCAAACTCCTATACGATTCAGCCAGTGGGACCCGACTCAATGGCCAATCGATGAATTCTAACTTCTCCGAATTCGTGATTTTAGCGCGACCACCAACCAATGTCATCAGCAAGCGCTTGTCCTCATTGCCGACCGGGTGAACCCCACTGGTCAGCTGCCCAGTACTCGCTGGTTTTTAATGGTTCTCTAACTAATATCAATCCGTTCATCATTCATTCGTTGAACAACTTTCAACCCAAAAACACGTGAAATGAAATGCACGAACAGATTTAGAAACTACAAATAAATTTGGTTACCATTTTCAAGTTAAGATTATGATTGTCATCTGAAAACTTAGCGAACCTACTGTACTTTAACGTATATTGTAGTCTTTAATTCACCTAGCCACTAGATATTACTCCAGTACAGATTTCGTCACAAACTGACATCAGTTAGGGCACAGTTAGGAACCAAAAAGCACTGGACAGCTATTTTTAGTTCTAGTTTGGGACTCTTCAACAGTACGCACTTATGATTGCAACGAGGTTATAGTATCCAGGTCCTTCCGGTTGCGAAGCTAGCCTGTTGACCATCCAGCCACTGGGTTTGAAATTCAATCACTCGTAAATTCCAACTAGACTAGACTGACTGCAAAATTCATCTTTGGTAAATATCTTTATTTTCTCATATTCTTGATAAAGGTATGCAGAGGTATATACACAAAAGTATGCACACTACAGATAGTGATTTTGGAACGCGTGATATAATCATTTCTTGTCTTTATTGACCTATCAGTAGAAGTTTCAATGCATAGACGCTTAAATGTTTTAATAACTTTTAAACCACTTCTTATCATACATATAATAATTCCTTTGTGTGTGTATTGCATCCTTTTTTATGCCATTATTCAACAGATGCTTTGATAACTATGCCTACGGTGACCAACAATGCCCTCAGTGTGCACCTAGAAATAAGTAGGTCTCTTTTTTGATGTAAATGAATTAAATTTCCTGTGAAGATTTATTTTAATTGTATGAGTTTTGTCTCACTGTTATGAAATCAACTGCGATTGATAAATAATCCTTGGAATGTATAAAATGCTTACTGGTGTAGATCCCGTTTCCTTTGTTTCTTCTTTCTGTTAGTTTTTTCTAGGTAAAATTTTTCAAAAAAGATGGTTGCTGTAAAGAAAAGTTTCTTTTCGATGAAGTCGTCAACTAGGCTGTTCATCCGTGAGGAATGAGTTAGTCCCAGAACTATTTCCGATTGAAGGTCAAATTATAACGAATAAGAGTATTACAAATGGCGATTATAAACTCCATAACAAAACACACACAAAAAAATAAGCAGGAAGATTGGATAGGAAGCGTAATCGGATAATCATAATTGAGAGAGTTGACTGTTAATGATGTCCGTGGTATATAGACAAAGGTTGGACGTATTTCTTTTTGATTACACATAGCGTTGGCTTGAATTTTTGGATCGTTAGTGCCTCAGGTATACCAAGATGTCTTGATCTCGGTCCCTTTAAGAGATTTGGTCGAATCTTGTATATGACTTTGGATGACTTTTCAGATGGGACTGAGTGTCCTGAGTTCACCAGATGTTCTGTTACTGAACCATATACACTCCTGCGTTCTCCCTTTTGGTAGCCAGGTTGGGTAGTGTTACTGAGTGCATTTTACAAGCGGACGTGTGGTATGGCCAATGTATTCAGCTTCACAAGAGCAAGTGAACTGGTATATGCATGCCGATGTAGCCCAGTGCGATCCGTTTCTATGCTGCTTATCATTACAGTTTAAATTAACTTGAACTTCTTTTTGTTTTGCGTAGAATTTTTTAATGTTAAATTCTCGGAAGTCTTCACTTTTGTCGTTTATATCTCCAATTAGAAGTGACTAAGTAGTCTTATCTTAGGGCAGGGTTGCAATGGACTGCAACGGACTTTCTCTCGCATACTAGGTATTATCTCTAGTGTAATTTGTAGTAAAATGGCTGTTGTAGGTATTTATGGTCTTACTTTCTCATGTACTTTTAACATTTCATCGTTGTATAGTATTCTCGTTGAGAATAAACTGTCCAATATACAATTTCTTTTGAAGAATAGCCAGTTCGATTAAAAAAAAAGTCATTTTATTTTTAGTGCATAGACATTTCAGTGAAACTGCCGTCAGTTTAAACGTAGTCTGAATTCAAGGTCGAAATATTGTTATTAAGGTTTAGAACCTTAAGATCATTTAATTTGATTTCTATACGCATAACAAAGCTCAGGGTGTAAAATCATTCAGAATGATTCCTAATGGGATACCAAGTTGACTAAGGTGGTCGATAATGAACCTGCGATGGATTGATAGTCAGTACACTGTCAAATTTGCATCACTAAAGAGTTTCAAACGACGATGAAAAAGCCAGTCAGTTTTCTTGCTTTTCTTATGTTATTTTCTACTTATGGATTCTTACGAAAATCTAATTTAAAAATGACTGATAGTTGAATATTCACTTATATTGGTTATTTTCTTCTGTTAATGTCAGTTGGTTGGACCAATCCAGTGTCTTTGATTGGACACTAGGTAGTAACTGGTGTCATGCTTCTAGAATTCTGTCAGTCAAGTTTGCAGTATGACCACCATGCTGGGTAGCTCACCATCACGGTGCACTCTGAATTGTTGTCATTAAGTGGTTGGAGATAATGGGCAGGAAGCCTTGGACCTTGGTTTCTTACTTGTTGGCACTGGTCAACAAGACGAGCCACTTAGAATAGTGATCATACTGCAAACGTGACTGACAGAATTTAGTCTGCACTAAATCAAGCAGGGGCTAGATACATAACTTTAGTTACTGTCTAATATCCATTCAAAACATCCATTACAGTCCTACAAGAGGTCACTCGCGAGCCCGAATAGTTCAGTGTTTCTTTCTCTGACGGCAGCACTGGATGACTTGGGTTCGAATCTTAAGAGGGATCTGAGTTCTTTCAAGATTACAGATACACCTTGCTGACTGACTGGTGAGTACCAACAAGCATGAGAATAAGACTTAAGGCTTCCCACAGATTACCTCCAATCGTCCACTAACAATAATCCATTTTCTTCTAGTACTTTGTCCGTTCAAAAATAAACCATACTTTTACTTTGAACTTCATTTCAATATTACTTACTTTGTAATAAGTAGTGGTGGGTTGTAGAGCCAATGATTCGTTCTTTTCTAAATCATTTGCTTGGATGAACCTTCATTCCACTAGAAATGCCATCACTTACTGGTGTGTGAGTTCCAAACCAAGGGGAAGGTGATCAACACTTTTTTTTCTTTTTCTGGTAGACTTCGGTAAAGAATAAAGTAATCCGCTATTTTTATTGTATCAGTCGTGTATTCGCTTAATCTAATTATCTTTAAGTCACTTAACCTAAAACCTGTGTTTATTATTTTAGGAAGTTATTAGCAGAAATGAACAATGCATTGCCAATAAATAAGTCATTCGCTAATAATGATACCGATTCATCTGATCAGTTAATAATTCAACTAAAGAATGCATTAAATATGGTGAAAGAAGTGAGTAGCGAGTCAAAAGCTGGCCGTGGCAATACACTTTCCTCTACAGATGATAGTAACAACACAGGCAGAAATATTAACAGTTCAATACATTCTCCACTTTTAAGTAAAGCTTTATCCAATGTTCTTATGCATGGTCCATTGTCTAATCAAAATAAACCAATCAGCAGTCAGATTGTAAAACATGATGACAGTGAAAATGATATAACTTTTTCTGAAAAACAATCAACCGGTTCACTGAAAATGTCTAATTCCTATCAGTAAGTTGAATGCTGTCATTATTTGTTTATATCTTCAAACATTGTTAAATTGGTACAAATATTTTGGTGTAGTTGTATTCTCTGAGCTGGATAGTTTATTTGTGAAGCTTTCATTGCCCTACTAGGCAACATCTTCAGCTCATACTTCAATTTGAAGTAATGTGGTAGATTTCTCCACGAGTTTATTAGTCGTCTTTCCTGGTAACCTCGAACGTGGTTGGTTATTTTTGTGTGTTTTCACGCCCTCTAGGCTTCTTCTGTTGGTACTGATTGTTTTCTTGACCTGAAGTTTGACCCTTTGTGTGTGAGATTTCCTCCTTATCGATCGGTAAATTTTGTCTCTGTCAAAGTGTCTATTGATTGACGATTCACTGGAATACCAGGCTTCTAAATACTCTCCAGCATTCTTGGTGTTTCCTCTGTCTGATATTTGAACGCTGGTTGTCCCAGTCGAATTGATGTCCGTGGTTGTCTGTATGCAGCGATATTAGGGAGTGGATGTCAATGTCTTTTGATGGCTAGTCTATGATCTTGGGTACGAAGACGAAGAGGACTTCCACTTTGGCCAGTGTAGTGCTATTTATTTTGTAGATGATGTTGGCTCCATCTTCTTTCGTATTTTATCTTTCTTTTTTAAGTGTTAAGGATATCGATCCAACGATCCTCTAACCGATGTCAGTTCATGATGAAATTCTGAAACCAATCAAATCCCTGCTAACCAACACTTGAATAAAAGCTTTTTACTTTATTTTAAGGCATCTCAGCAACTGTAAAGTAACTCTAAAATCTGCATTTTAAAAAATTGTCAACAAAATTCTTTCAATGCATAAAAATTAAATATGTTATGAGAATATAAAAACCGTAAGATTTGAAAACTTTTTCTAACAACTGTATCTCTTACTATTCAACAAAGACGGAAGTCTGGAAGGTTGAAGGAAAAATAGATTTACATTATAGATAATAAAACAGAGCCATTAGAATTAAACCAACTGAATAGCTTCTATACAGTTGATTAGTGAACAGTCGAATTGTGAAACAAAAACTTTGCAAATATACTTCAGTTACTAGAACAGACATAAGGTGTCGTGGCCTTCTTCATTTATTAAAAGGGTTCGTCGAGAAGCACGTAGTACCGGAGGTATGTTAAATATTCATTTGCGCACCGAGTGAAATATGAGGCTTCACGCTTGAGCTCAGAAGTTTCAGTAGCGGTGTTGTCTTTTTCATAGAGTGAGGTTGTTGGGCTCAAACCAACAAAGCGAGTTCTAAGAGTCCGTCGGCCATGAGTCGAGCCCTGGACTACGTGGGTGGCTGGTGAACATTCTTTCACTGTACCACCAGCCCTTGTTAGTGATGAAATAGAATTTGTGTTTGTTGTTTGTCCGGTGACTTTTTTCGGGACTTCTTCTGCTGTGTCAAACACATACTGCTTGAACACCATTAATTCTTAGAACAATATCCTGAAAGGAAACTTTTTACATAGTTTTTTTGTCTTTCCAAAGTATTTGCTTATAGAAGTACCCAGAAGTCTGTGATAACATATGAAAGTAATTCCTGGTAGATGCAGATCTACTTCGTATTAGTTTAGTTGGATAGTTACTGATAGGAAGGCACCATTTTACTATCTTCTCATACTTTTGTAATTGTCGGCCTATTTACATAAGCAATGGGAAGAATCTGTCAGTTTTCCTCAGCCGCATACAATCTTCTCAATCATACTGTGATGAGAGCTGTCTGCAATCCAAAATTGTATGCAACAATTTACGTCAATGTTTGCGTCCCGAATTGGGGTCAGGAGAGGAAACAAGAACAAAACCTAACCTTGAGGAACTCAACAATCAATCACAGCAAACTAAGCGTGGGCGAATACGATTCGCAGATATATCACCGGACTGTCTAAGAAACGGCAACAAATAGATGACAGAATAACCTTCAGCAGGAAAACAACCAATCAGAAGGCGTTGCTTCTCTGCTAATAATATCGCTAATAATAATGTACATAAAAATCTATAAATATTTGTTGATTTTCTCAATAAACGATCTGTTGCCTGGCCCTTGTCTTCTGTCGTTATAATACCATGATTTCTTCACTTATCACTAAAAACTTACATGAAAAACAACAACTAGTTAAGCGTGCCACTTAACATTATCATTTAAAGTTAGCGAAACACGTTATCTGGGCATTCAGTTTACTGAATAAAGACAATCTTAGAGGATTTTATTTTATGTTATTTAATTCATTTTACTTTTTTGTTTCTCATCTATGCACGTGTCTTTTTTGTTAAATTACCAGATCTCCTACTTTATTTAAACGCGTACAACCCAGTCAAATTGCTCCAGTATCAACAGGTGGTGGTACTAAAGATCCTAAATCGGTCAACTCTTCTCAAGTATCATCCACTAATCCCTTTCAACCAGAACCATCCATATCTACAGGTTATTTCTCGTCTAATGATCCAGTTCAATCCAATCTATCTGTAAATAGATCATTGAATCCATTCGATGAACTTTGTGATGGTGATAATGAAAGTGTTACATCTGGCAATAAACCAGAATCTGTTGATGCCGGTTTCAATGAATCACTCGATCAACATCAACAAACTCAGTCCAAATCTCAATCACTTAATCCTTTCGATTGGGATTAATTTTAGCTTAATATTTATTTTGTTTGTTTTTTTCTTAAAATTTTAATTGCATACTTTTCAATTCGAAGAAAAATTATTTTATCAATGTGATATGACTTGAATTTCACTAACAAACAGTAGTCTACCTAAGTCTTGTATCTTTGCTTAGATGAATTTATGCACTGGTCATTATACCTGTTTTCATTATATATGTGATTTTATTCTGCTTTTCTCTTATTTTATTCATTATTATAACTATGATTTCAGAAATTTTGCTTTCCTGTGAATTTTACACCTATATACTTTTATAAAATATGTACTTGTATACACATTTCTCACTGAAAAAAATTTTCTAACGCTTCTTACTGAAGAAAAAGAGTGTAAGGTGTGCATACTGAGGGACACGCAAAACAAGTAAGATGACCTTTAGGCACTAAAGAGGTAGGAATGCACCAGTGATCTGGGAAAGAGCTGTGAAAGGTAAATTTGGTTCTCTAAGCCTTACCCTAATCTACCTCGAACCAACTCTGATATCTTGATAAACTTAAGCTGGCTAGATATCTGGTCTAATATCATAACACTTCATTCAACATTTGTTTTCATGGATGCAATGTTACTTACCTGGTTTCACTAACTTGCTGACTGAACGTTCCAAGTTCATAGGTGCGCCTTGTCGGTGCCTAAAGTTTAATTTCTCCGGGAAACCGACTAAGTAAAAAGAACTTTCGTTTGCCTTCTATATGACTGATTATAATTTACAGTGGGAGTTTATAGATGAAGCGGTCGCTTACTTCAGGAAAGTGACTATTAAAAGTATTGGTTACTTTTGCCGAAGTCAAATTATTCTGTATTATACTTATCGTAATTTTCTAAATAAGATTCTTTAGGTTTTCATAAATGTGAAAATGCGTTTTGTCGTCTATGAGAAATTCGGTCAAATTTTCTTCACATGAGTCTTCAGACCTAGCTGTCAGCTGTTGCTCCTAGCAACTTTCTGCTTAAAAGAACTTCACCTTTAAATCCATTTGCTACTCTAATTCTTGAATAGGCACTTCCGTTTTGCATAACTAGATCCTATCATATGAATCAAAGATTTAGTTTATGAATCTAATTAGGTATCTCTTCATTTAGACGCAAAGTTGTGTAGATTCAGTCACCATCTCATCTACGTATCCGAGCATACAGTAGATGAAATTTTCTAGTACAACACAGACAAAGTTCATTGTTCAACACAATACAGGTGACTTTACACGACAAGTCATAGACAGTTTGTTAAATTAATTTGTCTTACTAGCTTTTGTTCTCACTTCCAGGAGCCTTTTCAGTTACATTTTTTCTAAAAGTTACTATTCGATATTCCTTTGATTGGCCCAAATGATATCAGTACATAAAACAATGAATCCCATATTCCTAGAATTTGCTTAAGGGACAATATCCCCCTAGAAAATTTTAGGAAGGTTGTTTAGCCTTGGAATTGTTATTTCCAAAAGATATTGATTTTCCTACTTTTAATCTATGTGTTCAGCAATTGCTTTTCGCGAGACTATTGGTTGTGACACTTTCCAAAATCACAGTAACTTAGATATGTCTACCACTTATCATCCCTGGGATCTTGAATATTTCCAATCGACTTCATTTGACTGAAAATCATCGCATAATATCCTTTATGGATTGTTTTATTATTCTGCTTTCTTGTAATCCTTTTCTTAGTTTGGCAACATTAGCCGGTGTTTCAATTACCTAATATTACTTGTATTGATATTTCATGTTTCCTTCTTTAGTACTTTTTATTTATAAATGGTATCTATATTCTCCTAATATCAATTTAAGGGGTTTTCACTATAATAGTTGCTGCGGTGGATTGACAGGGTTTTCACCATGTTGTTGTCTGCGTTGACAAAGCGTGTGAAATGATAAAGTGTAACCTTATATGAACTTGAATTTTGATGACTTTTAGATGTCAAATAAGTAACTGGATTTGAAAATTACACATCTGCTTAGCTAAAACTAAGTTTTTTGAATGTATTTCACACTTACTTTACCTTTTAAAGATTAAGCTTTCACTGACACCCGAAATGATGTGACTGAGACAATTCTGGATTTAGGTTCATTCTACTCTTACTTGAAAACAAAGCAGTATACGACTGATCACTCGGCTACTGCTCACACACCCAGGAGACTGGCTTGAAGGATAAACATTTTTTGTTCTAGGTAAAACACATTACTTCTAAAAATTAGGACTAATTTTACACTAAATGTTGTCAATTATTTACAAGTTTAAAATTTGAGAACTACGTTCTGGTTGCATAGCATCTGAGAATAAAGTGACCTATAATCTACTGCATGGTCATATGTATGGTTCACAAACAATGCCTCATATTGTAATACTGGAGCTTAATATTTTGATTGTATATGTATATTATTCCGAACCATGTCTTTCATACGCCTAAGTAGTATTCCTTTGGTAGTTAGTCGAATAAGCATATGTTTCTTTCGGATGGTACCTCTTCTTCCTTTGCCTTTTAAACAGGTGGCAAAAGGCAAATGATAAGTGAAACAATCTCTGAGAAAAGTGGCTCCATAATTAGCTCCCTGGATAGACGACTAGGACGTTGGAAATAACACTTTGAGGAGCGGTTTAATTGGCACGGCCACGCTCAATTTCCCGAACATCCAACACCTCCCTGAATAGGATATAAACACAGGTCCTCCGCCACTAACTGAGGTTACTAAGGCTGCCATTAGTCTGAAACGAGGCAAAGCAGTGGGACCTGATGGAATGACTCCAGAGGTATTTAAGTATTAAGCACTAACTGAGGTTCTAGGCAGTGTCTGGAAATCAGAGGAAGTCCCATCGGGTTGGTGTAAGTCATTGATTATCTCGATATACAAGAAGGGAGATAAGTCTTCCTGTGATAATCACAGAGGGATTAGCTTGACTAGTATGGTATCTGAAGTCCGAGGCTCAATAATAAGGCGTAGACTGAGTGGTCCACGAGAGAACCAGGCAGGCTTTAGACCAGGAAGAGGGTGTACTGATCATGTCTTTACCCCTCGGCAGATTCTGGAACATAGGCATGCTTACCGGCCTCCAACAATCGTCATATTTCTTGACCTGAAGGCGGCATTCGATTCTGTCGACCGAGAGGTATTCTGGCGATGGTTGGCTGCGAAGAGAATGCCAAGAAAATGCATTGCACTGATCAATGCACTTTATTCGAACTCGTACAGCCAGGTGAGAGCATGCGGACGATACAGTCCTTCTAGGTGAAGATGCTGACGAAATGCAGAGTATTGTGAACGTCTTGAGCAGCAATTTGTGAATGTTTGACATGCGATTCGCTCCTACCGAATTTAAGATTATGCTACAGGACTGGACTGCACTGACTCCTAGCTTACAAATAGGGAGTGAAATGGTTGGTGGAGCGTGTTGACCACTTCACTTATCTGGGGAGTTACATCAGCCAACGCCAACGGGTTGATCGCTGACGAAATCTCAGCACGTATAAAGAAGGTTCCTTCCGCATATGCCAGTTCACGCCGTCTCTGGCGTAGACATGATATCCGGCTGGCTATCGACCAAAGGATGTGTGTACTGCTCAGCAGTCCTCTCCGTCCTTCTTCATGGCTGTGAGTGAGACCTGATCATTGAGATCGGAAGACATGGAAATGCTGGCTAGCTGTCTTTGATCATAGGTGCCTGCGTTCTATCTCCCGTGTGAAGTGGTATAGTATGGTAAGCACTACTGAGGTTAGACATCGGTCGAGTGCTAGGTAGAGGAGGGTAAATCAATCGACGAGGCTGTGAAGCTACATCGACTGAGATGGTTAGGACATGTGTTATGTGTGCCTAGCCATCGACTTCCTCGACCGATGGGAGATGTTAGGTGACATAGGGTCAGGCTGGAAAAGAGCTAGTGGCGGTCAAACCAAAACATGGCTTCACCAGTCAATGAAATCCACAACAGTTAGTTTAAGCCAGCCAGCCAGTCATGTAGGAAGGTGTAGACTGCTGTGTGGTTGGGGTCTTCGGGACGGTAAACAGCAATGGCATCTGGCGACAATCGGTGATATGGCTTGAAGTCATTCTCAATGGCGGAGATGCATCCACTCCTTGTGACTTATAATTTCCAATGAAACTGTATTGTTCTTCGTTACTGCTATTCCTTTTGTCTCATATCTCTGTCTACTGTCTCTATTATGCATTTCTTCAACTTTCTTGTGTTGCTTTGTGTGGTACATGGGGAAAGTGTGGTGACTTGAACTGGTGCACATCAGTGCAAAGTTCTATGTCGAAAACAGACAGACAGGATTGGTTATATGAGGTTTGTAGTGTGCGGCATGTTTAAACCGCACCGCTGCTGTGAATGAAGTTCATCGTCCACCAATTAGTCGTCCAGTGTAGTCGGAAAGAGAGATAATAATTACAGTAATATATATAATTAGAATAGTTTATGTAGCCTTAAAAAAATAAAATCTTCAAACAGATAGGTTTTGAAATTTGAAAATAAAATATTTTTATAAATGATAATGATATAAAAAGCCAAAACATTCTGATAGTTGTTTAAACTTTGATTCATCTCAACAGTTATCTGAAAACTCAGCCTCCGTTAAATGTCTGACAAACCGGGCAGTAGAACTAAGTAGTGCTGTGGTGAGAGCTGTCTACTAGCCAAATCGGTAGACAGTAATTTACGTCAATATTTACGTTCCCAAGATTTGTCGTGAGAAAATGTGAACAAAGATTGACTTTGCGTAGGCGGATGCAGTTAACATATAGATGATTTGACATTCAAGAAACAGTCACAAAGAGATGAAAGATTAACTTTACGTGAGAAACAACCAATCGGAAGACTGTGTTTGTTTGCTTAAATATCCATAGTAATGTACATGAAAATATATAAATATGCGATGATTTCCTTAATAAATGATCTGTTGCCTGACCCTCGCCTTCTGTTGTTACAGTGCATTAAACTACTAAGTGATGAAATGAAACATATAGAAGGGGAGTATAAAATTCATTAGGAAAATCGAAAAAAAAAAGAAAAATGAAAAATAATAGCGGGAATCGTGATTATAACATAAATAGGAAAGGATACCAGGTGTCTGCAGTTTTACCATATGCAGAAGGGATATCTGAAATCCTACGTAGAATTCCTAATAAAGCAGGAATTAGGGAGGCATTTAAACCTACAAACTCACTCAGGGATAAGCTCTGTAAGTTAAAAGACCCTGTCGACCTAACTAGACAAAATAACATAATTTACAGAATATCTTGCAATGGCTACCAAGCCAGCTACAAGGGGCTAACCAGCAGATCCGTAGTTGTCAGATGATCAGAACATACAAATTTAGCTAGGCGCAGAGTGACTACCCCACG